CTTACCAAAAACTCTGGGCTGCTTCTGTACTTATCAATGTACTTTGACCTGGCCAAAGTTCAGAATTTGTTCATAGTGACATCTGTATTGAACATCTGAAAGTACAGAATTTGTTCATATATACATCTGTAATTTCCAGGCAAATGGCTGAAAATAGATCAGGAAAAGAATAACACAGCAATGTAAATCTAAAATGTAATGTTGTTATTTCCTTAGAGATGTCAAACTTTTTCCAAGTAATTACCTGTGAATTAGAAATGGAGTTGTCTAATTCAGGGGTCCTCAACCTTGGCAACTTTAAGACTTGTGGACTTCAGCTCCCAGAATTCCTCAGCCACAAGTCTTAAAGTTACCAAGGTTGGAGACCCCTGGTCTAATTTATTTGTAAGACTCCAGGAAGATGCTTAAAACAAAAGAAACTAGAACTGCAAAGGATTGCATACTACGAGTGATATTAGGAGGATCTGTTTGGGGGTGAAATCTACTTTTTCTGAATTCCTTCTCTGCCCAATTATTATGGTAGCTTCATCAAGTTCCCCTGTGTCTTTTATCTTATCCCAGAGCAGCTACACTGTGCCTTTTATTTTATTTATTAAATTTATTTGCCTTCATACCATCTCCACCCTATTATCTAGGTTGGATTGTTTTTGTTTTTTGCAAAGGGAGAGGAATTAAAAACAGAGAGTGGTTGGTCTCATATATAGATATGTGATCATGGGGGGGCTTTATTTTATTGGAAACTAAATTTGATCAGCCGTTATGAATTCAATTCAATTCTTGTTAATCTAGTGTTGCCCTTGTCTGTCTTTGTTCAGTACCTAGCAGGAGCACACAAACACACACAAATGCTAGGGGCACATATTTATTCAGCGGGAAAAATAAATGTTGCCTGAAGTTGGCAAGGCTAATTGGCAAGACAAGAAGCCGTGCCATGCCTAGAACTTTGGTCTGGAGTTATAATTCACTTCTACTCTTCCCTTTTTGTGGCTTAATGAAATTTAGGGGCTTTTTCCTTTCAGGTAAGCATGAGAATAAAGGCACAAAATGGTCTGAAAGGCATTAAAGCAGGACTAATGGAAGATTATACAGGATATAACTTATTTTTGCTGCCATAGAATAGAGATGCTATAAAGACTTCAGACATTTCAGAAAAATAGTCTTTAGAACTCAAGTTTGTGACACTGAAGTTGAATAACAAAGATTCAATTTTCTCCAACTTGGCAACCTCAGATAATGTTGAAGTATACCATCATCACCCTCAGCCAGCTTGCCTATTGCTAAAAGAAGACCAAAGCAAACATGAAGTCCTATCTCAGGCCTCATTAAGCCAAAGGCAAGTAAAGTTTTCTACTTAGATGAGTTTTTCCTTCGCTCATTTACTTCCATTCTGCTCCTCCATTCTCTAACACAGTGTTTCTCAACCTTGACAATTTTAAGGCTTGTGGACTTCAACTCCCAGAATTCCACAGCCAGCAATGCTGGCTGTGGAATTCTAGGAGTTGAAGTCCACATGCCTTAAAATTGTCAAGGTTGAGAAACACTTGAAACAAGATGTTCCCCATTAATTTTGGAGCTGAACTGAAATATAACTTTATATCTCCTTCCCCTTTCTCTGACACAAACACATGCAGAGAGATACACTCAAATGTCTATGAAGATTCTCTGTCATCCAGGTCATGGTTGTCCCAAAGGTGCTTTTTGAAAAGGCAGCTGGACTTTGTTTTTCCTTGAACACGTTTCGCTTCTCATCCAATAAGCTTCCGAAGAAGCTTCTTGGATGAGAAGCAAAATGTCTTCAAGGAAAAACAAAGTCCAGCTGCCTTTTGAAAAAGCACCGTTGTGACACACTGAAATGTTGCCAATGGGTCCACCATTCCTTAAGTTTTAGCACCATTCCTTAGGTTATAGATCTACATAAGTTCTACCTGAAAAATCTGGAGTATGGGAAACCCAACGCGGGAGTATTAATTTATTTGTAGGTAGATTAGTACTTTAGGGAATATTAATCTATCTGTATTTCCAGAAGCAGCGCATAGATTCCCAAGGCAAAAAATGGATAACATTTTAGGGTCAAGGTCCATAGTGGATGTTTGATGATGTCCTGAAAGGTCATATTCCATGAAAAATGGGTGAGGTCCAAACAAAAACTAACTTGAATTTGTTTCATTGATTTTTATATTTGAAGTAGTTAATATCTTTACAGGTATTCCTTGATTTATGACCAGGTTTGGGACCAGAATTTCCATTGCTAAGCAAGGCAGTTGTTAAGTGAATCATGCCCAATTTTACAATGTTTGCCATGTTGTTAAGTGAATCAGGCAATTGGTAAGTAAATCTGGCTTCCATTATTGACTTTGCTGAGAAGGTTGCAAATGGTGATCCAAGGACCCTGTAACCATCATAAATACATGCTACTTGCTAAGTGCCTGAACATTGATCACTGTGGAGATGCTGTGATGGTCATAAATGCAAGGACCAGTCATTTTTTTGTGCCATAACTCTGAACCATCACTAAATTAATGGTTGCAAGTCAAAGACTACTTGTACATGAATAGGGAGTAATTGCATTTATTTATTTATCTATCCAATTTCTGCAGTGACTTATCTCAATCCAATTTCATATTTTCCTCTTCTGCACCATTAAGTTACAATTGTTACAGAGTTTCTGGACTTCTTATCAGATTATGCAACTCCTTATTTGTTTTATCTCATAATAAATGACTAAAGTAGTTTTCTGCTGGCCCTTCTTTCCATTCCCTTTGGCCTCCATTTTGTCTTTGGAGCTGCCAATAAATGCAAGAGATTTAGACTTTATTTAGCATGATTCTTTGATCCAATATGCCGCCTTTGACACAACATATAAGGAACAGGGCTGTTAAAACTGTGGCAGATGGGTGTGGGGTAGGGGTAGAAGGGAGGAAGTACTTAAGCAAGATTTGACCCGAGATTTGACTGTTTTTTTCCCCCTGTGAATTGAGTAGGTTATTTTCTTTCAAAGAACATACCCATGTGAGCTTTGCATTATCTTGCTAAATATTTACTGACCTTTTTTTCTGTGTTATAAAAGTGGTCCTTTAAGTCTCGGCATAGTATGATTAGCCATTTTTACATTACTTATTTTTAATTATTGCTTTTTAAAAATGTTTGATCTCATCCTTAAACAATATTCAAACTACAGTGTTTTTATTCTCACAAACTATTGTGACACCCTAAGGCATTCCTTTTTTCTCATCTCTCTTTTCTACTAGTTTTTTTTTTAAATTAATTGATCCTATATTTCAGCCTTTCTGATCTAGCTGACAACGCTGCATCAAATGTTCTGGAATTGTAATCTCACACATCTGGAATGCACTTTCTTGGAAACCCAGTTACATGGGATCAAGCCTGACTGAACTCAGTGGCTGCTACTTCTGAATATGCTAGAATATATTGTCAGCCCAGGTGGGAGACCCATAAGTTGAGAAATGAAAGTGGACTGAATGACTGTATCTGTTGTTTCAACTTACCTGTGCACTTAGAAATGATTTGATGATAGTTTACTCTTGTAAACTGTAACCAAATCATTTCAAAATGCACAGGTAAGTTGAAACAATAGGAAAGAAAAAGATGCTGTACTCTACCATGGATATATCCAGTAAATTCGATTAGTCTTTCTTCTATGGTATGGCAATGTCTGAAAGGTATACAGAGCTTAGAAGAAATCCAGTAAATATACTTGTGTTGACTTTGAGCCAGAAGGTCTTTCTGATCTAAACTGGGTTGTACCAACATTTTGGAGACAGTCTAGTGCAAACATGTCAAACTTGCGATGTCACGTGACGTCACACGACGTATCGGAGCTTTTCCACCATTGCCGGCAATAGGGTGGGCACAGTTTCCTGGTGATGCGTCTGGCCTACAGGCCAGCAGTTTGACACCCCTGGTCTAGTGAAAAGAAAGACTAGGAGGGGGTGACATGATAGCAGTGTTTCACTATTTGAGGGGCTGCCACAAAGAAGAGGGAGTCAAGCTATTCTCCAAAGCTCCTGAAGGCAGGACAAGAAGCAATGGATGGAAACTGATCAAGGAGAGGTGCAACCTAGAACTAAGGGAGAAATATCCCGACAGTGAGAACAATTAACCAGTAGAATGAGTTGCCTCCAGAAGTTTTGGGTGCTCCAACACTGGAGATTTTAAAGAAGAAACTGGACAGCCATTTGTCTGAAATAGTATAAGGTCTACTGCTTGAGCAGGGATTGGATAGAAGACTTCCAAGACCCCTTCCAACTCTGTTATTCTGTTAAATCAAGGAAGAGGGAAAGAAAAAGGGAAACATCACTAAGAATCTTGTTTGTGGAAATATCTACAATTACTCAATAATGGGCATTACCACCACCAATGTATTTTGGGTGAGTACATTTCTAATTTTCAGATAGTGTTGAAGGCAAGTACTCACAACCTAGTTTCCACTGTGCTGTGCTGGGCTGGGAATTTACAAAATGGCAGCCACAAGAATATAATTTTCCGCCAACTTGTTTTGCCTCTGAAGATGCTATCTAATACTCCTTGCTTTTTAAAAATGTACCCTCTCTCCCAAATCCATGGACAAGCCATCATATATCTACCCAGCAGTTTCTAAGAATGACTGTGAAGCCTATGTGATGACCAGTTGTATCACTGGGGGTAAGGAAGCACAGAACAATGTCAAAGCTGGTCCTCTGCTTAGCTGAATAGCAGCATGTCCATTAATCCATTTTTCCTTAAAAGCCATATTTAGAAAAACTAAAACTTGTATGCCATAAAGATGTTTACAAACTATCTAGCATTCATTCTAGTAGCCTATTTAAGTCTGCAGCCTTGTTGGATTGTTACCCATGGATTGAGTTTAGATTTGAGGGCAAAATCACGCAAAGCTACACTGATCAGCTCTGTGATTCATCAGATGTGTTTTGCTCCAAGTCATCTTCCCAAGGATCAGAGAAAATGTGTTTGTTCTTTCCCTCTTAAACTATTACATAACATTTACAAGACAAGCATTATCATTTATTCATGCAACATGTCATACGTTATAAAAGTGGCTAGATAACTGCATTTATTAAATAAATTTTGGTGGGGGTGGAGCCCAACACCACAAAATACAACTAATGTCTCTAAGTTCAGCTCTCTCTAGTTTTTTTTTTTTTCTATACTTCATCAGCTATTGTCAGATTTCACAAATGAAAGATATTGCACCAAAAAGACATGGGCTAGGAGAAGGCATACTATCACATTAATATTTATGATTTTTTTAAAAAAAGATCTCCATGTGGTACATAAAGTGCTTCTAGGATTGGTGCAATCAAAAATAAAGGGGACAATCCTTCTCATTTAGATCCTAACAAATGCATACAAACAGAAAAGTACTTTTTACAGCCTTGAGATCAAGCAAGATCAGGATTCATTCAAAATGCCTCCATAGCGAGAGGAGAGAATTGGTAAAACAGTCACTATACAACAAACAAACATTTCCCCCCCAATGACAATAGTGCCCAAACCCATCACCAAAAATGCTATAATACATATAAATACTATTAAGAAATAGGGAGGCAATTTCATTATTGAAGGAGAGATTTGGCATGCTGGAATATGTCATGGTTTTCCTGTAAATATCCAGACGATTTGTAGAAATATTGTCTCCACCCCATCACAAATTTGTTGCAGTTTGCGTAACTGCAATTCACACATTTAAAAAGGCATTTGGTACTTTAGGATATTTCCAATGGCAGAAAATATCTTACAAAAAAAAATATTACTTATTCTGAAAGACCAGAAGAGCATGAAAACAACAAAAAGCAGATTTTTTTTGGAGAAAAAGAATGCTTATGGCATACATACAGCCTAGGCAAATTAAGAGGAAACAAAATGAGTTCGTTCTTCCAGTACATTATTATTTTTTTTAATTGCAAGGAAATAAAACTTGAAAATCATTGTTCCAAAGTAAACGTGAACTGTAATACTATACCTGTAAAATGATTAATTCCATTCATTGCCATTAAAAAGTATGTAAAACATTTATTAAGGGCTTTTGCCTACAGAGGCACGACATAAATAGACAAGTCCTGCTGAAATGTCATCAGAGTATACATCAACCAGTGGGTAATTTGTTGTGGAAATTTCAGAAATACTATCCACAAGTGAAAGAAAGTTATTTCCCATTGCTGGATTCAGACATCGGCACTTGGCAGAAGCTTCTTGCTCCATTGTGCAATCGTTCTGCTCCATCTCCTGAAAACTTCTGCCTGGCAAATCAAAAAGTGCTTGCAGAACTTGCTCTGAGAACAGAATCTTTGTTTTACTAATAAGATAACAATAAGAATAACAATAAGAAGAAGCAGGAGCAGGCGCCCATTTAATCCACTCCTTCAAATCCTTGAGCATTTTCAACAGCCATAAGAAGCTTCTCTCGCAATTCTTCAAAAGATTCATACGGAGGTAAGTCAAGGCGATTAAAGCTGCAATGGAAGAGGGTTGGGGAATGGAGTAAAGGCAGGATTGTGTTTGTTTCAAATTAAGTATCTGTTTTTTTTTTAGAATGTGAAAGAAAAAAAAAGGAATCTCTTTTGAGGGAGATTGCCAATGAACAAAATTCCTAGCTGGACGTTCAGGTAGAACCAGTTCTAATTCTGCAGAGAAGCTGTGTATAAATGTAATCCCAGGGCCTGGAAATCATCAAAAACTAAAATTTGTGGTATTACGTTTAGCCAATTGACAGACTAAACCCAAGTTCCTACGTGGGCTTGTAGAGAACAGAAATGGAAGAAAGAGGGTTAAGGTTGTCATAGCTTGATAGATTTCTTGGGTGGAATTCTGTGGATGACATACCACATCAGTCACATAACCAAGGTGATTTTAGCTTTTTCTCCACCGAATCCTCCATTTCTTTCCACCAGCCCTCTCCCTCTGTGCCATTTCTATCTCCCAACACTGAAATGTGACTTTTCAACAGAAAAATACTTTCTGCTCCTATAAAGCTTTAAAACTGGCATGATGGCTCAGCAGTTAAGACGCTGGCTTGTCAGCTGGAACCCAGGTTCGAGACCTCAGCATCCTGCGATGGAGCAAGCTCCCACCTTCAGCTAGTTCCTGCCCATGTAGCAATTTGAAAGCATGCAAATGCAAGTAGCTAAATAAGTACCACTTTGGTGGGGAAGAAACAGCACTCTGTAATGTCCTGACCACAAAATATCTTCGGACAGCGATGGCTCAATGATCTTGAAACAGAGTTGAGCAAAGTCCCTTATAGTCGACAATGACTAATTAAGTAAAATCCACAGAGACTCCTTCCCACTTCCTTTCCTAACATAAATCTTTGCTAGATATAAGAACTGCATCTCCCGTGTTAGTGGTATGCTAGATAAACCTAGGGAAAAGTGTTAAAGGCAAAAATTCAAAATTTTCATTTCATTTAGGTATAGTCTAAATATAATTAATATTAGTCCTCATTTATTTAATAATACTAACATATTCCAGGTATCTAAAAATTACACTTTGATGGAACTATGGGACCTATTACACAAGATCCCTGGAAATTCTCCTCCTCCCTAGATTTTTGGAAAAATGAAATGTAACCACCTTTCCAATTCGAGTTTAATAAAAACTGCTTTCCTATCAAATCATTCCGCCATGGGTAGGCAATGAGTTCCTCATTGGATCTTTTTGAACTTCAATATCTTTTATCCCTAAGTCAGAAGAACAGGATTTCTGCCAGTTGTATTCCAAATTTTATGAAGGAACCATCCTTTTTATCCTTGCACAATGTTCCTTTCAGGAGCAGATGGTTGCTATGCTTAGCCTTTTGTTTATTAAGTTCTTTCAAAAAGTAGGACAATCTGTGCCTAAGAATTGCTTCTGAAACATCCTTTGTTTCCTTGAAGGGAACATACTTTGGGGCAAAGTGACAGGTTTCTCAGATTTGTATGAGACTGGAGACCCCTTCCAGATAATTTCATCTAAGCCTAAAAGTATCTTGGTGGATCTGTTGAAGAATACAATTTCTTCAACATGTATTTGAACAAGTTCTTGGCATATGCAGTTTGTGACAATGAGAAACCTCAGTCGACGCCTTTTTCATTCACATGTTTTCTCCTTCTCCCCTCCAATTTTCTAGAGAACCAGCAGGTCTCTGCTCTTTCAGATCTTTCCCCCCCACCTTTATTTTCCCCCAATTATTCCATTTTTTTTATACTGAAGGGAAAAAAGGGGTTACCTGTTTCAGCCTACTTTGAAAGAGGCGCATCAGAAAATTTTTAAAGCTCTTATCAAATCTGGCTTTTTTCTCTAAACATTTTTATTCTTAAGACTTTTGGTTGACTGTCTTAGAATTAACATTAGCAAATATTTCTTCTTTTCTGAACTACTCTTGACATATTAAAAATGGTGATTGCCCAGATTATATTAACCAACATATTTTTGTAAGGAGGGAGTATTCTTTAACAAATGATCATTTGGTGCTCAGAACATGGTACTGTTATCTCCCCTAAATTTGTACTGTTGCCCATAAATTTTATGGAGTGAATTTTATGAGGATTTTATGGAATGAAAAACAGTGACGTTTTATTGCTGTCTCCTCTAAAATGTCTCCCTTTACAAGATTTTACAACAGTCTTAACAGCAAGAACATTTTAATTACTGCTTTTTGCATCCATAAATACACACATCTAATATATGTGGGAGGTTTACATAGGGAGGAACTCCATCATATTTAACGGGAAAGTGCATTCCTTGGAGATGTCTAGAAAATGTCAAATTTAATTACTGTAAATGTAATGCTTGATGTTTTATTACTCACCAGGTGTGAGCTCTGGGTAACTTATCAGGACTTCCCCATTGCTCTATTGTAAACAGCTGAGGACCATTTGAACCTGGTTCAAGAGAAGGACATAAATGGATCAGAGGGTCATCAGACTTGTAAAATTGCAGATTGTAACATTGTCAACCTCTTTGACTTCAACTCTGCTTTTCAACCAGTTAGGAGTTTCAGCAATTCCAGTAGGCCTAGAGGAGAGAGGTTGGGGAAGACACTTCTAATTCAGCTGAGATCTCTAAAGAAGAGTGGCTTCGGTTGGAAATATATGTTACATTCAAATGTGTCTGCTAGAAGTGAATAAAATACTTTTCCTATTAATGAAGTGAACGTGAAGAGGAAACCAAGAATTAACTAGATCAAAAGGATTGGGGTGCTGGGATAGGCTCAAGAGTGAATTAAACCCCAAACCAGTCAGTCAGTAGGATTTAAAGTAGGAGAAAATGTCACATGGCCCAGATACTTCTGAAAGACTCCCCCCCCCCTTTATACCATGATCAAAACGTGCTTAGTGTTATTTATTTATTTATTCAGGGGCTGCCATAAAGAAGAGGGAGTCAAGCTATTCTCCAAGGCGCCTGAAGGCAGGACAAAAAGCAACGGGTGGAAACTAATCAAGCAGAGAAGCAACCTAGAACTAAGGAGAAACTTCCTGACAGTGAGAACAATTAACCAGTGGAACAGCTTGCCTCCAGAAGCAGTAAATGCTCCAACACTGGAAGTTTTTAAGAAGAGACTGGACAGCCATTTGTCCGAAATGGTGTAGGGTTTCCTGTCCGAGCAGGGGGTTGGACTAGATGACCTCCAAGGTCCCTTCCAACTTTACTACTACTACTACTACTACTACTACTACTACTATTATTATTATTATTATTATTATTATTATTATTATTATTATTAATTTATGAGACTTATATACCGCTTTAAGTGCAAGCACTCTCTAAGCGGTGTACACCAGTAAGCAATGTGTGTGTATGTATGTATGTATGTATGTATGTATGTATATGTATATGTATATATTTACATTGCCCCCAACAATCTGGGTCCTCATTTTACCTACCCCGGAAGGATGGAAGGCTGAGTCAACCTTGAGCCAGTGAGATTTGAACCGCTGATCTGCTGAACACAGTCAGCTAAAGTGGCCTGCAGTACTACACTCTAACTGCTGCGCCACTTCAGCTCTTGGTTCTCTTATGAGCTGAGAACCAATGAATGAATGAATGAATGAGCATCCATGTGTCCGTTCACCCACCCACCCACATACCCATCCATCCATCTTCCCATCCCTCCCTCCCTTCAGACATTCAGTGCATTTAAATCAAAATTATTTGTATGCCGAATGCCTAAATTCCAATCTTCAGCAATTTCCATTGAAAAAAAAGATTTGATTTAGATAGAAAAGCTGAAAAGTTCACTATCTGGAATCTTGGCAAATCCTTAATTGGAGAAACTAGTTTTACTAGAAATAATAATCATCTGATAGTGCAATGTTGCTTTATATCTTTCACAGAGTTCTAGTCCTTATTTCTGCAATTAAGGTTTTTCCAACCTTAGCAGCAAGGCAAATATATTACCCCAATGCAAACATATTACCAAACATATGCAGTGGAGCAAGCAGTAAAGGGCACTTCCCAGTGTACTTATGTGTTACTGCTGCTACACAAATTTGCATTGGTTGCCAGTAAGCTTCTGGTGCTGGTCACCACCTATGAAGCCCTTCACAGCATAGATCTTGGTTATCTGAGGGACCACCTATCTCCAGTGACTTAAACCAGCCCAGTATGTCTTGGGCAGAGTGGGTCTGCTCCAGGTCCCTTCAATTAAATACTGTCATAAGGGATCAAGAAAATGTTCCTTTTGTCATAGTCCTCGTCCTCTGGAAGCATATCCTCCACCCCAAGATAATAACAGTGTCCATTTCTTGGAGCTCCAGAACGTCCTTAAGGCCTGGCTATACTCCTAGCTTGGGGGTTTGTAAGCTGCCCAGAGTTTGGTTGTGGGCCTGGTTCTTTGGAATGCCCCTTCTCATGGACATCTGAGTTCCATGTTGATAGCTTTCCAAAGCAGTTCAAAACAGAACTTATTCTGGAAGAGTTTGGGCTGTGCTACCATCTTAGTTGAGTTATAGACTGGCTTTGTAATTCAGTGTGTATTTCTATTCATTGGTTTGTCAATCTTTCAATTGTGTAGTTTTATTGTGTACTTTTTCTTGTTAACCACTGAGAGACATTAAGGATTATGGAGGTCTATAAAGAAATATTTTCGTATTTAGGATGGAAAGAATATGCCAGCATTGTTTACGAGAGTGCAAATTTTAAGACATCCCATGCAAATAATTAGAGATAATCAAAATCACTTTCACAGTAACTCACCGTAAAGTTCAGCAAATCCATTCATAGGCACTCGTGACGTCCCAGTTACAAATTGCAAAAGCCGGATACGTTTTTCAGCATCCATCAATAAAACAGCCTATAAAACATATCATTATGGAAGCTGATGAATGAATTATCAATGAATATCTCACACCCATGGGCTTCCTGCTTTTAATAAGGACTTTGCAAGTGATAAGCCAATTTGAGAACAGGCTGAGATCTTTTCGCAAAAACAGAAAGCAGTCAAATGTTGGAGTTAAAGCACAGCATCAGAATGAATCATTGTTACCTTCCAAAACCACTGAATGACAGGATGGTTTGGGCAATATCCGTTCTTGTAGATTGCATGTTGTCTCCAGTCATTCACATCAACATCACCAAGACCACACATTAGCAACTGTGAAGGAAGGACATTGTTGAGAAAGGAAAGCAGGACATGCACTATGAGCATTTTTTTTCCCTATCACAGAGTTGTGATCAGGAAAGTATATACATAGGTATATATGTATATATGTATGTATATGTGTATATTAGGTTTACAAACTTTGTAGATTTTGCACCAGTCAATATTTTGAACTTTTCTCTTTCAGTATAATAACATGCATAACTGGAACTGTTTTATGTCTATGAAACAAGAATAATCTTAATGGGAAAAAAAATCATTTCAGAGCAAACATTGCAACACATCCGACTCAGTTAAAATACAAGCTCACATATAGTAACAACAAAAAACCCTTTTCGTGTTTATTAAGTACTAAGGATGATTACTGTATATTACTGCATACAGAATTAGTATATTAATTTTTAATTATTTATCAAATCTGCATAACCACCCATCTCACAAAAAGCACCTCTGGGATGGCACTTAATATTACTTAATAGACAGACTGCATGAATTCTATTAACTTTTTTTCCTACGGAAAAAGAGCAAAACCTCTTTGTTAATTATAGTATTCATACCTTGTCTTTTTTTTAACATTGCTTCGAGGAACACAACGATTGAAAACCACATTCTAAATTGGTTTCCTTAATTCCTGTTTGAATTGAAAATACTTGTTGCTATTGTAAGCCCAGCTTTTACCTTCACCTACGTAGCTAGAAGTAGCACTGAACTTAGTGAGACCATTTTGTGAGTAACACTTACATGTGTCTGTATAGATCAGGGGTGTCAAACTGCCGGCCTATGGGCCGGACGTGTCATCTGGAATCCGCGCCCACCCCATTGCCGACAATGGCAAAACTGTCCTGATACACTGCACAACGTCATGTGACGTTGCGAGTTTGACATGTCTGGTGTAGATCAATTTTGTGGAATGCACAACTCTGGCTAAGAAGGTTCAAAAAGGCAACTACAGGTGATCACCATTAGAATCTTCCCTCTGGCTTCCCTGGAAAGTCAATGGGGAAGCTGGCAGGGAAGGTTGTGAGGCTTTGCCAAGAAAACTCCCTCATGCCTCTGGAGTCTGGCTGAAAACGCTGTTTCACAATCCAAGCAGGATTTTCACTTACAGAGAGGAAAGTCTTCAGAAGTCAAGCAATTCTAAAGCCTTTGGGCACCCTCTCCCTGAGCCTCCCCCACACCCTTGTGCTTTTGCTCTCTCTCCAACTGGCAGCACTTGGGGCTTGCAACTTCCTGCCTGCTTTCTCACTGACTTGATTGTGGGAAGCTGCAGGAAGCTGTCTCACCTAATGACTGGAACATTCATTTCATAATGGCAATAGAGACTGCCTGGATTGCCATCGCTAAGTGAAGCAGTTGCACTTTATGACCACATCGCTTAGCAACGGCAATCCTGATTCCAATTGCTGTCATAGGTCAAGGACTACCTAGACAGGATTGGGCTACAGCTTGTTTTATTTTCTGGAGATTGCTTAAATATTTAGCAGGCAATAGGAACTCTCAGAAGACGCTTGTGTGCTATTAAAAAGCCCCAGCTAAAGCAAGAGAATTGTAGGGATTGCAGACTTTTGTTTTTGCAGAATTTAGGCCAATAAGACATTTATTCTCTGCTTGAGATAAGCAAGGATCTTTCCAGTTGCTTCCACCAAAGAAAATCCTGATTAAAGACAACGTCAAAAGGCAACTAACCTCCAGTTCGTTTTCATCAAAAATTTTAATTAAGTCGGTGGGCAGGAGTTCTATAAATCCCTGAATGGGAAAAAAAGAGAGGAAAAACAAATGGATTTCAATACATTTTCAATATATAAGTCTCATAGTTTAACACTGCTGACACATTTTAACATTTCAAAGTAAAAGCTCAATGGAGAGCTACAATGAATAGCTTTTAATTCACACAACTTGGGAGATGTGGGGAGAAAAGTGAAACACTGGAGGTCTGGAAAAAAAAGGTGTTCTGTAATCTCAGACATTTAGGCAGCTTTCACAGGGAGTTGCTCATTCTTGCCAACAATAATTCCATGTGACAGATTGTGTGCATTCAGCTCTGCCAGGACCTCTGAGGTCTGTTTGAATTGGAGCTAAAACCATTTCTTTTGTTTCTCAAATCGGAACATAAAGAATCATCATGCAGAAATCAGAAGAATTTGGTGGTGAAGGAATAACTGTGATTTTTAAAATGAAGTTCAATGTTCTGAATACTGAGCATGGCTAGGTCATACTGCAATGAACAATTTATTCTCTGTGCCACAATTTTATTTTTGAAGGGCACTCATTTCCTGTTCCTCCCTCCTCCCTAGTTTCCCACATAGAATTCATTGTCTTCCTTTGATTTGCAAGGATGTAGAGAAAAAATGGAAGATGGTTCTACTGAGCTGATGGTTTTACTGCACCGGTTTTTCATATGTGTTCATATAAATTCCTAGATGAATATTTTGAATCCCTCTCTTCTTTTCCTTCCTTCCCTCCCTCCCTTTTTCCCTCGCTACCCAGAATGGAGCAGGTGGCAAAGGCAAGTAGTGAATTGTTAGTGAAATGTCTCACCTCAAGAAATGCATTCATCTGCTTTTGAACCCTGTTGACAAATCTCCACTGGATGACTAAGCTACAGGAAACAAAGAAAAATGCAAAGTTTCATTAGGAGAAAACACAATTATTTGTATAGCTTAAACCCTTTCCCCTAACTTTTTCTGGGTTTCCATTTTGACCTTCAGTGGTCCTTCTTTTATTGAGGTAAAAAAATAAATAAAATAGATGAGGCAAATACAACCATCACATTTCAAGATCCAATTTTAGCATCTGCAAAGCACATGCATCCATAGAGCTTTTAGGTAATTCCTAAGATAGTCTTTCAGAATCCAATGAGATGGTTGAAGAATATTATTGATGAACATGAAGGAGTAATTCAAAGAGAACTCTGTCCCATTTTTACACCCTGCTATATAAATAGAATAGAATAGAGCTGGAAGGGACCTTGGAGGTCTTCTAGTCCAGCCCCCCTCTTAAGCAGGAGAACCTATACTGTCTCAGACAATTAACTGTCTAGCCTCTTCTTAAAAATCTCCAGTGATGGAGCACCCACAATTTCTGGAGGCAAGCTATTCCACTGGTTAATTGTCCTCACTGTCAGGAAGTTTCTTCTTAATTCTAGGTTTGCATATCTGCCTTAAAGAGATTTGCTCTGCAGAGATGGCCTGAAATTAGCTTTGTGTTTTCTATGGATATTGAGCTCAATGCATTGTATTAATTTAATAAGAAATAAAAGCTACATTTAAAACTGCTTATAATGGGTACTTTGAGGTGTCAAGCCTACATTTCATAATTAGGGCAATAAAAACAAACTGGCTCTCTTTCCACCTTCTGTTGAATGAATGACCCAAAAATGAAGGAAGGAAGATCTATTAGCATGATAGGATTTCCGCAACTCTAGACTCTCTACTAAAACGTCTGGTTTATTTGCTTAAAAATTGGACAAGCTGTTTCTATTTTATTTTACAGAGAGTTCTCACTTAACAATGATAATGGGGACTGGAATTTTCATAGCTAAGCAACAAGTGCTGCTGGGCAGGGTTGGGTGGTGTGGCATAGCAAGACAGCAAGAAGGGGGTTCCCCGAGAAAAGAGGTGGAGGGAGCAGAAGCAACTTACAGGAATAACTTGCAACCTCCTGCTGGCTTCCCAATTAATTTGTCTTATTGGAAACTGACAGAGAAGGTTGCAAATGACGATCCTACGATTGTAGGACTCTGCAAATGTCATAGTTGTGAGCTGGTTGCCAAGCATCCAAAACATAATCACATGACTGTGGGGATGCTACAATGGGTGGAACTTCAAGGACCAACTGTAAGTCCATGTTTCAGTGCTGATGTAAGTTTGAATGGCTGATGAATGATTGGCGTAACTTAAGGACTTCCCTGTACTTTAAAACTCTTTCTACTGTAAACCCTATTCTCCAAACAGGCATCTACCTAAATATCAATCTTCGCTGAAGAGAGGAGTCTCACTCACTTTGATATGTGGAAATGACATTTTCACATGGAAGGACTGGGCCAGACGCGCCATGCGGGAGCCGTGCCCACCCCATTGCCGGCAATGGTAAAACAGTCCCAATACGTCGCACGACATCACGAGTTTGACATGTCTGATCTAAGGTATCCAATTGCTAAAATATTAAACTGAAGAGTAAAGTAAAATAGGTTTTTTTTTTCAAAAAAAAAAAAAAAACTTACTCAATATATTCCCTTTTATTTTCATTTGTGACTGTGATTTCTGACCCGTTTGGCTTCAAGTCAACTTGATATGTCTGCAAAGACAGAAAGATAGATAAATAGACCTATTTTAGAATGATTAAACTGGTTAATTACCAGACACCAATTAATTATATTTTGAAATGCACCATTTCTCTGCTCTTCAAATATTTTTTTGCGTATAATGTGGATTAAGTTATTTATAGACAATTCCAACTTTAAATTTCCTTTTAGTTATTTAATTATTTTAGTTGTTATTGACAAAATGTTCTAGGCTTAGGTTCCAAGAAGGGTTGAACAGATGTAGTATAATTGATCAATCCGAATCAAGCACTGTGTTTCATTAACAAGCTAAAGGGAAGATAGACCGGCATGTAATCTACTCTGTTATAAAAGGATTAACTGTGTTCTATAGGGACATAAATGGCAGTTTTTGGAATACCAATCAAGTACTGTTGGAAATCTCTTCAGACTCAATAGAGCTGCTTTACATTAGCTGTAGGATTGAAATAAAATATATGGCTTAAACATTCTGAAACAAAGTAATAAATTCCAAGGGAAAGTATGCTGATCAGAGCAAATGTTTCCTAGTTTTTTTTAAAAACAAACAAACAAACTGATAGGCATCAGGTAATTTGTGTGTACATTCGTAAATTCAGTTTTCCAACAAACACAAACACATAAATGGAAGCTGGTACCAAGAAAAACAAAGTCTACTGTGTACTTTTTCAACACTGATTAGCCATCTAAAATATAACAGGACACCAAAATTTTAGCCACTGGGCACCAGAGCCCAATTTCACATAATGGAACAATTTGTTATTTTTTTTTAAATTAAGATGCTTAAAATTACATGGTATTTTATTTGAAAAATGGAGTAATTGTGAGACTTAATTATCTTAAAATATTCTGACCATTTAAAATTTACTGGTTGAAAGTCAGTGGGTACTATCAAGGGATATTACAGGTTCTCAGCTCCCAGAATCTAAAAATAATATGGTACATGAGACAAAAATTTAAATGTTCTCCATATCAGTCTCCCAAAAGAAAATTGGTTTAATCCAAGGAAGGAGCTGAAGAAATGAATTAGATTGCAATCTAAATCTAATTTCAAATCAGCTTCAAAGAACAGTATTTATTTGAAATAACCGAGGTAGAACATTCTGGAACTGTTGACATTATATAGCATGGATGCTGAACAATAGGAGACAGCATTACATTTCCAAGGTTGCAAATAATCAACATAGTTAAGGGATTTGTCTGGGCAGGCTTCTCACCCTTCAGGGAAAAATGAATGTTTTGAGAAGCTCAAGAAAGTAAACATGCATATATATTGAATGTAATATTCTTCATTCCCACATTGTGGGAAAGCTCAAAATTAGGTGTTCAAAAATGTTACCCTGTCACGGCAACCTAATTATAAAGAAATATAATCATGTGCACGCTTCTTTCCTCTGTTTCAGGTCTGAAATAGCATGGTACAACACTGTGCAACAACAATAACTGTAACAATCACAACCACAATAGTCCATTAGAGATGGGTAGCTAATACATTCAAGTTAATAACAATAATTTATTGTGAAACTTATGTGCCTGTAACACCTACCATGCCTTCTAGTCTTCCACTAGAAACCTTCACCTTCACAATTAAGCGTGCTGAACTTTTTTCAAGTTCATCACAAGATTACTCATCTGTGACTTCAGATGTGGCGATAAGCTGTTGCTGGGTACATTCTGGCAAACAAGTTTTTCTCAAATTACAGCATTTCACAGGAACATCAAGAGTGACTGTTATAGCTTGGGGGTGGGGTAGCCACTGACAAAGTTAACTAACACATATGAAGCTTCTTAATGAGAATAATTCAGAGCAAAACATTGCTGTAATACAACCTCCAGCAAATGTAGAAGTGAGGTTTATATAAGGAGTTTTTAAAAGAATCATAAGTTTTAACTTTCAATGCTTTTATCCTTGTTCTACGTAAAAGAAAACTCAAAGCAACATCTAAAGGTATAAAAATCTATTCACGACTGTGCTAGAAAAACACAAACTGAACGCCTTTGCTTTAAAAGATTGAACTACAGCAGGAATTTTCAAACTTTGGGATTGCAAAATATAAATACCGCTTCTTGGGCAAGAAAACTATCACACATTTTAATCATTACAATTTAATCTGTATATTAGGGATTATACTGTTTTATCCCACATTTATTATTTTTATAAATAACTCAAGGTGGTGAACATACCAAATACTCTCTCTATCATTTTATAATATACAGTATATATGTACATATTACCATATGCCGGCATACAAGGCGACCCGGCGTATAAGACGACCCCCGTCTTTGTCTCCGAGTCGCATTCCTAGAACATCTTATACGCCGGAAACTACCAGTATTTCCGGCGTATAAGATGACTCGGCGTATAAGACAACCCCCGTCTTTGGTGCCATTTTTAACGCTTGCGGAAGTCGCCTTATACGCCGGCATATACGGTATATAGACAGACAGTTTGATATAGTGGTTAAGATACCAGGTTACCAGAGTTTCTGCTCCTGCCTTGGGAGACCTTGAGCCAGTTCTTCTCTCTCATCCCCAGTAAAGAGGTAATAGCAAACCACTCTTGAAAAGCCTTGCTAAGAAAACTGTACAGACTAGTCCAGCAGTCACCAGGAGTCAACAATGACTCGAAGGCCTTCCTCCCTGTGTGTCTATCTCTCCGTCCATGTATGTATATGTGTCTCTGTATGTAGGTATACATACACACACACTGCATACATATACTTATATACTGTATTTATGTGGTGTACCAAAAAGGCAGGCCCCCTAGGCCAATTGCAATATGTTTTCTTAATTTCCTTGTCCCCCCCCCCAAGGAAAATGTTACTGTATTTATTTAATGCATGACCTGTTCATTATTAGAATTAGGTAAGTAAGGAAGAATTTAGTAAAAAAGCAAACAATTCAAACATTTAATGTAATTTATATAATACATTGTCTATGGAGAATTGTCTATGTATGTGCATAGCCACCTTATGAATATATATAGTACATGCCTGCATTTTTAAGTCGTTCACTCTCCTCTAGAATGCCTTATTTTGCCAGAAATATTTGTGCCTCTATCATTCTGTTAAAAATTAGTTATTTTTTCTTCAATTTCTCTTGTGTAAAAAAATAAACAAACTGAAACTGAGATATTTGGACATTTGTTATTGTGGGCTGCCAAATTTAACATTAATTTTTGTTTAAACATGTTCAAATATCTTATCTATTCTTAGGGTGTAGTAGATAGCACAATGCAACGATTTAAAAACTAGCAGACCAACATTTTAGAGTAATGAAAGAAAACTGCTGGAATAACATGCTCATACATACCTGTCCAAAGTTTTCTTCATCTATGCAAAACATAAGATCCAGTTCTGTGGGATCATTTTCCAGAATCCATTTCAAGGAATTATAATATTCACTATCCTGTTGGAAGAACATTGTTTTCCATTAACCAATTCTTTTGAGAAAAGTAACATAATATATTGAAAGATGTCTACCAGCTGATTACTTTTGGCTCAACTGACTTGGCATACTCCTAGTATTCTTAAAATGTGTTACAACGTGGATAAGGTGAATGTTATAAAAGTCTGATAATCAGGGATTTAGATCTTTCAAACAGCAAATATAACTTCTAAATTGGAGGATGGTCATTTGAATCTTCCAAATATCAGACAGCCAACTTGAAAACCTATTAAATCAATCATTTTTATTATCCTTCTGGGCTTCTTCAACAGCTGCTTTCTTTCGCCATTAATCTTATTAGTTATTTGGAATTCAACACAACAGACTGAACTACTTTTATTTTCCAAAAATGAAATAATGAAATTGAATATTGTAATACAGGCATTCCTCAATTTACAACTGTAATGGAGGCCAGAATTTCCATTATAAGTCAGGATGGTCATAAGTCAAAACACTCATGTGGCCAACCCAATTTTATGATATTTTTTGTGATGGTCATTAAATGAACACTGCATTCATTAAGTGAGTCAATGTATTCCTATGGATGTTTTTTGCTGGGAACTGACTGAAAAGGCCAGCATCTATGGTCATGTAATGTCATAAATCATGTTATATGACCATAGTTTGCTGTAACTGACCATAACAGTAAGATGGCTGCTAAGTGCTCAGAATGTGGTCACATGACCACGAGGGGGGAGGGTTTGCTATCATCAGAACTCTGGAACCAGATTGTAAGAACCTTTTGGGAGAGTTCATCATAACTTCAAATGGTTGCTAAGTGACTGGTCAGCAAGTAAGGACTACTTCCCTCTATATTTTTAAAAAGGATCAGCGTAGCATTTGGTAAATTGACACAAGATCAATGTAATGCATACATGTTTTTATACCACCCTCGTGTGTCTTGGGTAGCCCCATTCCCTCTTTGATGTACCTGCATAAGGCCATCCTGTGAAACTACTGTGAATGATGATTTAAACATGGGTCCAAATACAATATTTTCATCAGTGCATCCAAATATTTGAGATGAACAGGATAATTGTCTTCTTCACCCTTTATTAAACGAGTGCTAAATTTATTCAAGAATCCTAGAATGCTCATTATTTTTTTTCACGGAAATGCTTCAAGCAGCTGTCAAACTTCTAATTAAAAAAAACTTACAAAAATATTTTGCTAATTGTTCATTTCATGCTGAATCTAATCGTATTAGGAATTTGAAATTGTTACCTTGGTAGTTAAAAAAAAAAGCTTTATTAGAGAATTAGAAAATAAAATCCAAGCAGTACGTGTCCCCGATCTTATGATGCTAATCAAGCTTCAAACTTTGGAGGTTCTAGGGAATAGTGACATTCAAAAAAATTTCCCAAGAAAAGAAATAATGCACGTAATTGAAAATGTCAATAGGGTTCTCAGTGTTTACTCACCACAGACTCCATGTCGTTTAGGGTTATTGGTTTTCCCAGCATCATCTTATAAAAAGGCCGAATGAAGAAACCTGCACACAAGGGAACAAAGTTTAATTAAAAATGGCTCCCTCTTATAAATGAAAACTTTTTATGTGTCTGATCCACAAGGTTTGGCTTTCAAAATATTAAAAATAAATTGTGGGCCTAGCTCTTAATTTATGAACTCTGAGATGCATGTTAGAAAAAAATAATGGAGTTTCTTAAAAAATCCAGAAAGAAAATGAACAATTTCTAATAGAAACCAAGTGAGAGAAAAGGGTAATATTTCTCTGAGTTTGGGGGTATAAAATATTTCTTAAGGAATATGTGTGTGTGTGTGTGTGTGTGTGTAGCAACAGAGAAAAGGAAAACAGCTTCAAAAAAAGAGGAACTAGATGACCCAAATTATAAAAATGCATTGGTAATTATTTCAACTGAATGTTTCTCTTTACTTTAAGGAAGAATGGTTAGAATTTATCTCTTTGAGGCACACTGTTAGCTGTGGGCAGAAAATTATGATATTTCTCCCTCAAATATGGCTGCTGGGAAGAACAAACAAACTGATAAGTTTTTTCTATCCATAGCATACATAGCTGGGTCCTGAAAAAGATAAATGATGCTGTTTTAGTGCTCCCCAAATGTATTCAGTGTGAATAATTTTCTGAGAACAAGCTTAATGATTCTCAATGAAAAAGTTCTCCAGAGCACAAAATTATACTGTTTCTTTGTACGACTTTGTAGTTTAGGTTGAAGGTTCTAATCAAGCATCAGTGTTTACGGCTATCTGGAGAATCCCAATGCTGTACTCAAGGTATTATTTGATTCATTTACTACTAGAGAAGGGATGGGACTGAGAAGGCTATATAAATAGAACAACAAAAATAAATAAAAGTAGAGAGCATATCTATATAGCTATGTGATGCAACAACTAAAGAACTAGGTTGAAACTCAAATCCTTTCTTAATTGTGCAGCTTTAGGAAATTGACTGAACAGCTTGGTAGAGATCTGCATCTGATTCTGGCCAATCTCAAAGGACTGCTTTTCACTAGGAAGAAGACACAGAAAGATTATACCACAGTGCACATCTGGCTATCTTTTGCAGAGATTTTAAACACTTCTGCAGACAGAGAAAAAAAAAGTGTAGCTCAGAATGTAGCCCAGTTTATCATCTTTAGAAGGTACTGGGGAGGGGGCAGTCCAAGGGCCGTCTTTTCTGTTGAAAGAGTTATCGTAATTGCTGGTGGCTTTTGAAGCTGAATTGAAGTTGTTCATTTTGATGCAAAATCTTTCTGTGGCTTAGGTGCAATTTCTCTGCAGGACTGGCTATTCCCACACAGCCATTCACACACTCTTAAATCTTCAGCAGGGCACTCTTTGAAATACCTAATAATACATTCATTAGAAAACTGAAATTGATATTGTGTTATAATTTAAGAGAGGGGTTTTTTTTTGCAAGATGTACAATTGATAAAAGACACCAGAGAAATTATCTAAGGTATATAAAATGTACTTCCCATCACTGGAAATGTGAAAAATATGAACTTGTGAAAAGAAAAGAAAGGAAAGAAAGAAAGCAAAGAAATATAAAAACATTCTTTGGTAACACAAAGAATTTGGAAGATTAGAATTGACGTATTTTATTGGGACTCACGAACAAAAAAGACTTAGGGGAAGTCTGATTTTATATAGGGTAAGGGCAGCAAGATTATTATAAGCATAACGATGGAGAAATATTCAAATATTCACAATGAACTGATTGTGAAGATGGCAGAATTAGGAGAGATGGCAAAACTAGCCTGTTTGGTCAGGACAAAACAATAAGAACTTTTTATAGAAGTCTGAAAACCTTTAAAACCTTTTGCTAAAACATGGAACAAAGTGAAATGATGATTTCTAGATTTGAGGGATGAAAAGATCCAAAAGGGCCTGAAGGGATTATTGTAATGTTGAGGGGGAAAGAGAGATAATGAGCCTGTTTATGCAGGTAACTGCTATAAAGAAGTATGGAAGTTGCTATTTTAACCTTTCTTTCTTTCTTTCTTTCTTTCTTTCTTTCTTTCTTTCTTTCTTTCTTTCTTTCTTTCTTTCTTTCTTTCTTTCTTTCTTTTCCTTCCCACCCTCCCTCCCTCTTTTCCTTTTTTGTTTTTCTTTCTTTTCTTTACATACTTTTGCATTTGACTTTTAGCTATGCAAAGAAAACTTTTAACAAAAATTATTAATAATACCTTTACCACCATCAAACAATAAAATCTGTTTAACTCAGGTCCTTGGGAAGGAGTGGATACGTGAATAAAAATGCCAAGTCTAAACATCTGGCTGACTATATGAACAACTCAATAAGGACTCAATAAGTGGACAAAAATGCCAAATACAATCTAAACTTTGGCTGACTGTACAATGAACCATAATATAATAAATATTAGAAACTGGCATCTAGTGCTATTTGAAATGGGTGGCATACAAATACATAAATAAACTACTGAATAAAAAACTTCAGCTCAATGGGGAAAAAAATAAATGAAAATTATTTAAAAGTAGCACATGGGAAGATAATTTCTTTCCTGCCTTTTTTTTCCTTGTATTGTTTTTCAAGACATTTATGGGAAGGAAAATATATGTGTACTCATAGATCTTCTGAATGATTTGTATCACTTACAATATTTTACTTCAGTTAAAGCACTCTACTTCTGAAGCACAAACTCTCTTTTATAGTTGCCCTCCCTTATTCAACTCACCATCTAAAAGCTTTCCATGATACACAGCCAATCCAGCAACACGACCAATAAAGGTGAAATAAGACAAATGGTCTTCATTACAAAGTCCAGAATTAGGATTGATCTGAAGAGTATAGTTGTCCCTTATTGATAAAAAGAAAGAGAAATGAAAGGATGAGCTTCTTAGGTATTTGATTCTCATTTTCCATCAAGCTACACAAATATACCTTTATAGCATTACTTGAATGGCATAACTTATTTGATATGTACCAGAAAATTATGTGCTTAAATAGGGCCAGCAGACAAAAACAAACTTAAGAGTATTGTGACTACTAAAGACTAATAAACAGATTTCATTGCGGCATATGTCTTTGTGGTTTAGAAAGTGTTTTCCTCATTTGGAGGATGGGTATTTTATATAGCTAAATATATTTGACCTTTGCATCAAAAATCACAAGTTCTACATTTTCTGGTCTTTAGTTCTCAATGGAAAAACTGCACTGCAAATAGATTTTACACCAAAGTCTCTGTAGCTAGCAAATCAAATTGCAACAAATAACAAATAGTTAATATGGTATTTATTTTGACACAGCCTTATTTTATTAACATGAGAGCCAATTCTTGGTAAATCAGCCAAAAGCTTAATTATTGCTGTCTTATTTTCTAATCCACAATCATGGTATAATGTCATAAAGACAATGCAGCTCAGGTGCTTGCTTCAGACATTTACCTTAATATATGAAAGCCTGAATCTAGAGAGGATAGTGCCTACTTTCTGACATCTAGGCATTCAACTGGGAGAAGTGAAGACAAGATGGAGTAGCAATGGCTTGAACATAAATACAGCTCTCCTCAGAATACTAGAAAGTTCCCAGAACAAAGGTGGTTTTTCAAGAAGCAAATGGACTTTGTTTTTCTTTGAAGACATTTCGCTTCTTATCCAAGATGCTTTTTTTAGCTTTGACTGGATGTTGGGGAATGGAAGGATTTATATTCCTTGCAGACAGCGTCAAGAGTCATTGAGGCCATTGGGAGGTTTATCTGTGTCCTCAGGATCACCTGAGTAGTGCAAATGGGTGTGGACCGTGAGGACACAAATAAACTCCACATGGCCTCAACGACTTTCTAAAAGAATGCAAATGACCAGCTGTCTGCAAGGAACATAAATCTTTCCATTCCCCACCATCCAGTCAGAGTTGAAGAAGCTTCTTGAATTAGAAGTAAAATGTCTTCAAAAAACAAATAAACAAGAAAATCCAGTAGTCTCTTGAAAAAGCACCTTTGGGACAACCAGGATCTGGATGACTGAGAATGTCCATAGACATTTAGCTACATGATGTAGTTGCATTCAAATAAATGTAATTAAGTATGTCTCTTCTGTTTACCCACTGGACATCTGGAAATCTAGGATTCAAGGCCACTGGATATGTCCCATTTTCTACTTGGAAAGAAGTCCTCCATTTGTACAACTGAATGCTGAAGAGGGCCATTATGTCAGGGTGAAAATACAGGCAGTCACAGGGTTAGGAATATCTAACTTCTGAGCAATTCGTATTTACAAATAGACTGCCTATTACTAAAAATGGTGGATGGCATTCTTTTTCTTCAAATCAATAAACGGTTGAAACTGCAAAATGTATTTATGAACTGCTGAAGCCAGTTCATACATTTTAACTGTAGCCTATTTTCAGAAAGTGTATAGTTTACAGAAAGCATCAGCAATTCATTGGCTTGAGGAGGAATTCCATCCATTATTTTTTGTAATAAATGAGTTTTGTAAGTATGAGTTCTGAATTGCATATAAATTTAACTTAAAGACAAACTTGGGAATCGATCTCATTCTTAACCCAAGGACTATCTGTATAGCAACATCTATACTTTACCAAGAGCGCTATTCTAATACTCTGCATCCGATGCAGACTGTTAAAAAGAAGAGTACAGTATTGAGAATAGGAAAACATCTTTTTATCTCTAATGACAGGTGCATTTTCCAGTATGTTCAATTCCTATTAAAAGCAATATAATACATGTAATTGCATGACAAGGGTTGGCTTTCATAAATACATTTATCTTTTGACTAACCTATTAACTGCCTGAGCACAACATGGAAAAATGAGTTAAAATGGTGAGATAATTCTTCTAGGAAAGGAACTGTTGATGAGAACAGTTTTTACACAAGAGATTGGGATGAGGTGAACTATTAAGGGGTTGGGATTATGAAGGTTTATCAGTATCTGTGTGCATATACAGTATCTGAATGTATAACTAGTACATTTAAATAATAGTTCATTGTACCCAATAGAATGTCTCCAGATTCTAACATATTTCTGCATTGATTCTTGAAACATCTTGAAACATCATTCAAGAACTGAGAAACTGGTAAAGAATTAGATTGAGATTCTGTGCAGGTAAAATTTATTTTCCATTAGCAATCAGGCCTCTTCCTAGATAAGATGTTATGGAAATATTTTACTCTTCATGATAAGAAGGCTCCTGGAATGAGGTTTGTGTATGTAGTCCTTGGAAATATCTGGATTAGAATTTGTTTCTTATACTTCTGTCTTTATGTGTTATTTATTTATTTATTCTAATTCAAGATTCCCCTTTATGGATTACTGCCTTGTCGTGGCGAAGGGGCTTGCGTAACTCAATGAAGCTATAAGCTATGCCGTGCAGGGCCACCCAAGACGGACAGGTTATAGCAGAGAGTTCTGACAAAATGTGATCCACTGGAGAAGGAAATGGCAAACCACTCCAGTATCTTTGCTATGAAAACCCCATGGACAGTACTAAAAGGAAAAAAGATATGATGCTGGAAGATGAGCCCCTCAGGTCGGAAGGTGTCCAATATGCTACTGGGGAAGAGCAGAGGGCTAGTACTAGTAGCGCCAGAAAGAATGAAGCGACTGGGCCAAAGCCGAAAGGACGCTCAGCTGTGGATATATCTGGTGGTGAAAGGAAAGTCCGATGCTGTAAAGATTTTTTCTCCATAGGAACCTGGAATGTAAGATCCATGAATCAAGGCAAGCTAGACGTAGTCAAAAAAGAGATGACAAGACTGAACATCGACATCTTAGGAATCAGCGAACTAAAATGGACAGGAATGGGTGAATTTAACTCAGATGACCATCAGGTATACTACTGTGGGCAAGAATCCCTCAGAAGAAATGGAGTAGCCTTCATAGTCAATAAAAGAATAGGAAAAGCAATACTGGGATACAATCCCCAAAATGACAGAATGATCTCAATTCGAATCCAAGGCAAACCATTCAATATCACAGTAGTCCAAATCTATGCCCCAACCACTGGTGCTGAAGAGGATGAAATTGACCGGTTCTATGAAGCCCTACAGCACCTTATAGAATTAACACCAAAAAATGATGTCCTTATCATCATGGGGGATTGGAATGCTAAGGTAGGAAGCCAAAAGATAACCGGAATAACAGGCAAGTTTGGCCTTGGAGAACAAAATGAAGCAGGGCACAGGCTAATAGAATTTTGTCAAGAGAATACGATGGTCATAACAAACACTCTTTTCCAACAACCCAAGAGACGGCTCTACACATGGACATCACCAGACGGTCAACATAGAAATCAGATTGACTATGTACTCTGCAGCCAAAGATGGAGAAGCTCTATACAGTCAGTAAAAACAAGACCAGGAGCTGACTGTGGCTCAGATCATGAGCTTCTCGTTGCAAAATTTAGGCTTAAATTGAAAAAAGTAGGGAAAAGCACTAGGCCACTCAGGTATGAACTAAATCATATTCCTGATGAATATACAGTAGAGGTGACAAATAGATTTAAGGAACTGGATCTGATAGACAGAATGCCTGAAGAACTATGGATGGAAGTTCGCAACATTGTACAAGAGGTAGCAACTAAAACCATCCCAAAGAAAAAGAAATGCAAGAAAGCAAAATGGCTGTCTCAGGAAGCTTTGCAAATAGCTGAGGAAAGAAGGGAAGCGAAAGGCAAAGGAGAAAGAGAAAGATACACCCAATTGAATGCAGAATTCCAGAGAGTAGCTAGAAGAGATAAGAATGCCTTCTTAAATGAACAGTGCAAAGAAATAGAAGAAAACAACAGAATAGGGAGGACCAGAGATCTCTTCAAGAAAATTGGAGATATGAAGGGAACGTTTCATGCAAAGATGGGCATGATAAAGGACCAAAATGGCAGAGACCTAACAGAGGCAGAAGAGATTAAGAAGAGATGGCAAAACTACACAGAAGAACTATACAAGAATGAGCTTAACATCCCAGATAACCACAATGAGATGGTCACTGACCTCGAACCAGACATCCTAGAATGTGAAGTGAAATGGGCCTTAGAAAATCTGAGCAACAACAAAGCTAGTGGAGGTGACAGTATTCCAGCTGAGCTATTCAAAATCTTAAAAGAAGATGCAGTAAAAGTGCTACACTCAATTTGCCAGCAAATTTGGAAAACTCAACAGTGGCCACAGGATTGGAAAAGGTCAGTTTACATTCCAATTCCAAAGAAAGGCAATGCCAAAGAATGTTCAAACTATCGCACCATTGCACTCATTTCACATGCTAGTAAAGTTATGCTTAAAATCCTACAAGCTAGACTCCAGCAGTATGTGGATCGAGAACTACCAGAAGTACAGGCAGGATTTCGAAGAGGCAGAGGAACTAGAGATCAAATTGCCAACATACGCTGGATCATGGAGAAAGCTAGGGAGTTCCAGAAAAACATCTACTTCTGCTTCATTGACTATGCAAAAGCCTTTGATTGTGTGGATCACAACAAATTGTGGCAAGTTCTTAAAGAGATGGGAGTACCAGACCATCTCATTTGTCTCTTGAGAAACCTATATGCGGGTCAAGAAGCAACAGTGAGAACCGGACACGGAACCACTGATTGGTTCAAAATTGGAAAAGGAGTCCGGCAAGGCTGTATACTGTCGCCCTGCCTATTTAACTTATATGCAGAGCACATCATGAGAAAGGCAGGGCTAGATGAATCAAAAGTTGGAATTAAGATTGCCGGGAGAAATATCAACAACCTAAGATATGCAGATGATACCACTCTAATGGCAGAAAGTGAAGAGGAACTAAAGAGCCTCTTGATGCGGGTGAAGAAGGAGAGTGCAAAAGTTGGCTTGAAACTCAACATTAAGAAAACCAAAATCATGGCATCCGGCCCTCTCAATTCCTGGCAAATAGATGGGGAAGAAATGGAGGTAGTGACAGATTTTATTTTTCTGGGCTCCAAGATCACCTCAGATGGAGACTGCAGCCAAGAAATTAAAAGACGCTTGCTCCTGGGGAGGAAAGCTATGGCAAATCTAGACAGCATTCTAAAAAGCAGAGACATCACCCTGCCAACAAAAGTGCGCATAGTCCAGGCCATGATTTTCCCAGTTGCAATGTATGGCTGTGAAAGTTGGACCATAAGAAAGGCTGAGCGCAAAAGAATTGAGGCCTTTGAACTGTGGTGCTGGAGAAGACTCCTGCGAGTCCCTTGGACTGCAAGGCGTTCAAACCGGTCAGTCCTAGAAGAGATCAACCCCGACTGCTCTTTAGAAGGCCAGATCCTGAAGTTGAAACTCAAGTACTTTGTCCACCTAATGAGAAGGAAGGATTCACTGGAGAAGAGCCTAATGCTGGGAAAGATTGAGGGCAATAGAAGAAGGGGACGACAGAGAATGAGATGGCTGGATGGAGTCACTGAAGCAGTAGGTGTGAATTTAAATGGACTCCAGAAGATGGTAGAGGACAGGAAGACCTGGAGGAATGTTGTCCATGGGGTCGCGATGGGTCGGACACGACTTCGCAATTAACAACAACAACAATTCAAGATTGGGGAATGGGATAGTAGAACACCTGTTACCTTTCTTGCTTCTTTCATTACCAGACATATTTTACTTGAGTTTGTTAAGCACCTTACATGTGATTTTGAGCAGAAAGGAGAAAGATAAGCTGAAATAATGAATAAATATTTGGTTTGAACACAGTGGAATGTGTCCGGACTGGCATTGCCACTTGATTCAGGGAATTTTTGTTTCTCATCATTAAGGGCTGTTTCGAAATTGTTCTCTCTTTTACGCTTGTTACTGCAAAATTCCAGCAAAAGCAGCTTGTCCTTAATTAAATCTCTTCACAAAAGAAAAGTTTCTTGTAAATTAATGCCAGGCTAGGTAATATACATGACTAACAAACAAAAGGCAGAAGCTGGAGACAACTGGCCCAAATCAGTATTCCTTAGTACAACATATTTCAAAGTTCACAAGGTACCTCTTCTGTTGAGCAAACACATTAAGATTTTAAATATAAACATACCGAGTTAAACACATGGCATGTACTATAAAATACATAGTCCAAATTACACACTGAAGGTTATGGAAAATATTCAGTAGAATTAAAGACATATATTTTTCATTGTATATTTAGTCCTCAACTTACAACCACAATGTGCTAAGTGAGACAGATGTTAAGTGAGTTTTGCCCCACTTTATGACCTTTCTTGCCATAGCTGTTAAGTGAATCACTGCAGTTGCTAACATGGTTGTTAAATGAATCTGAATTTGCTTGTCAGGTCACAATCACATGACAATCGTCATAAATATGAACCAGTTGCTAGGCATCCAAATTTTTATCATGTGACCATTCTCACTGCAATGGTCATAAGTGTGAAAAATGATCATAAGTTATTTTTTTTGTGCCACTGTAACTTTGCATGATCACTAAAGGAACGGTAAGTCATGGACTTCTTGCACAGAATATCTTTTTTCTATTACTACTGGTAGTTTATCTTTCTCTTGTAAAATTGTATAGTGGTTGATGGTGGCTTCCTACCAGAAAACAATAGTGAAAAACCACAAAATAAAGGATGACTGAATTCATCTAGTGTAGCTGTAGGAATATTTCATCAATTACCTAATGGTAAAATGGGCGGCCAATAAATTTCACAAATAAATACATAAATAATATACTTACGTTGCTGAATATTCAAATAGGCCATAATAGGGGTTAAACATTTCCTTGGACAACAGGAAGAACCATTCTCTGGCCACTCCTCCATAGTCAAGGCCTTTTTCTGATTCAAATTCTATCCAAAGTCTGGCTTTTAATACATCAGGTCTCTTCACTGACATGATTCTTCTATACGATTCTTCAAAAATATTATTTCTGTGGAGTTTCATCTCAAATCTGTTGGGTATATCAGCCTTCATGGAAAAAAGAATATTCCATACATTGAATGCATTTTCTATAACAGCTATTTATAGAACAAATTGTCTGAATGCATTTTCTATATCAGCTATTTATAGAACAAATTGTCTAATAGTATGACCTGGCCTTGTTCTTTTCTTTTCAATACAGTGCAGTGTCGGCACAGGTTCAATTAAAAGCGTGTAGACTTCTTCTATGGGACAATATGTCCTTTCTTCCGAGCTGCAAATATTTCATGAAATACATCTCTGTTTGTCACTCAAGGTCCCTTCTCATGGCCAATCAATGAGTAGTGTCCGGTCTCTCTTGCGGCCAAACCTAAAAGACCATGGAGGTGCACTGTCCAGTGTCTGGATGGGGAGAAAGTGTTTCCACATCAGACTTGCTCACTCTCAACTGACGTTAAGTAGATCAGTATCACCTCCAGGCTCATGCCTGAAGTCCCTTAGATTGTCTACTATACATGGGAACTTTTGTGATGGAAAAAGGAGGAAGGCAACATTTCTCAACTGGGACAACTGAAGACAGGTGTTTGCTGCCTTAGCAATGGGCTAGGGATGAGAACAAGGTCTTCAGAAATGATTACCAAAGAATCTTTGTGCTATAGTGAGCAAAATATGAAGACGAACCTTTAGTGGCTGGGAAAAAAAACCACTGGCTAGAATGTTTGTGGATTTGATTTTGTGGGACCCTACTTTAGAGGGAAAGAAAAGGTAACCTGTGAATCTATTTAATGGAAATAATGAATATCTAGGAGCAATGGAATGGAAGTTGAAAGAGAAAATAAAGGAAAGAGAAAAATTCTGCAATTGCAGAATGTCATGGCAAAATGTATTGTAAAAAGCAACATATAATAAAAGGAAGGTTGCATTCCCTATACTAAGGCTACCTATTTTATCATGAAATAAATATCTACTTACTGGTTTCTTTAATTTCTTCCTGAAGTAGTCATATTTTTGTTTAAATTCTCTGGAATATGGAACAGCCTGGAAGACATGAACATTGTATTGTTAGTGTAAAGAATCAAATGATCATGAAAGATTTATATTGGGACCATCCACTTCTCTCTATTATTCATTTCCTTAATCCTTCATTTTTTAAAACCTGATGCCAATGAGTCTCTATGATACATATACTAACCTCTTGAGATCTGTGATTTCCTACCCCTACGGGAGCTGAAGGTTGCATACTTTAAACTGCCTAATTGTCTCAGTACATATTGAAATAGTTCTGGTTAGGTAGTTAGCTAAGAAAGAAAGGTGCAGTTTAAAAAAAAAACTTGGGATGGGCTAAACCAGGGCTTTTCAACCTTTTCACCTATTGTACCACTTTTAGAATATGGCAATATCCAAGTACCACCAATCGCCTAGCAAAGTGTCAAAACCTTGATGACCAAAAAAAAAAAAAAGAAAAAAGAAAAAAGTGATAAAGTACAGGTAGTCCTCAACTTACAACAGTTCGCTTAGTGACTGTTCGAAATTACAATGGCACTGAAAAAAATGCCCCCCAAGCCACAGCCGAACAAGACACCTGCCTGCCCACCCGGCGGCGCACTTCCTCCTGTCCGAGGTTTTCATTGTTGTGAGCATTTCTGTTGCTGATTGGCAGCAGGGGTGCGGTGGGGGGGGTGTTTGGTTTTTATTCCCCCTGTCTGCTGGGTAGTTGCAGCAGGCTTTCGTCACTTCACATGACCCTGGGACACTGTGACTGTCATAAATATGAATCAGTTGCGAAGCATCTGAATGTAAATCACAAGACCCTGGAGATGCTGAAGCATTCCAGCTGATCGGCGCTTCTTCTGGGCTCAGCAGAAGCGCCAGAATCAGTGCTGCTTTCCAGCTGATTGGTGCTTCTTCAGGGCTCAGCAGAAGCACCAGGATCAGCACCGAGCTCCAGCTGGAGCCTGGCGCTGATTCTGGCGCTTCCACTGAGCCCTGATAGCCCCGAAGAAGCGCTGATCAGCTGGAGCCTGGCACTGATCCTGGCACTTCTGCTGAACCCTGACAGCCTAGCAGCTCCAGCTATCTCTCACTCAGGCCTTTGCGGTGGTGCCACCAGTTCAGCTCATACCTCTCCCCCGCTACCACTTTTCTAGGATGGCCGCGTACCACCTGCCAGGTGTCAATGTACCACAGGTGGTACCCGTACCACTGGTTGAAAAGCTCTGGGCTAAACTTTCACCAGAACAAGGAATGGATGGAGTTTTGTGTGTTTGTATTATGAGGTTTCATCCTAGCTCAGGACAAAATAAGAGTGTGCAGTTCCATGCTATTTTTGACTGTACTCCCTGCAGCAGAGCAGAAACATGAAAGAAAAGTTGGCTCTCTTGATTTTTCATCTTAGAAACTCAAATGTAAATGAGACAGTTGTCCATATTCAGTGCACTCTTACTAACTAATTAAGTAAATTTATCTTTTTAAAGTCATGCCCTTGGCCATGTTGTCACTGGTAGATAGTAAGTAGTCAGCTCTGATATCCGTTTACTTTAATAGCTGTAGGATGAAAAATGATAATTTGTTTAAAATTTTTGATTTGAACCCTTTGTATGATGGAAAACAACTCATTCAATACTACTGGCCCTCGATTTCCAACTATTCATTACAATGGCACTAAAAAAGCGAACATTTTCCACTTACAACCGTTGCAGCATCATCATGTGATCAAAATTTGGGCACTTGGCAACCGGCCTGAATTTTATTTATTTATTTTTATTTATAAGACTTATATACCGCTTTTAAGTGCAAGCACTCTCTAAGCAGTGTACACCAGTAAGCAATGTATATATATATTTACATTGCCCCCAACAATCTGGGTCCTCGTTTTACCTACCCCGGAAGGATGGAAGGCTGAGTCAACCTTGAACCGGTGAGATTTGAACCGCTGACCTGCTGAACACAGTCAACTAAAGTGGCCTGCAGTACTGCACACTAACTGCTGCACCACCTCGGCTCATTTATGATGGTTGCAGGATCATGTGATCACCTTTTGCGACCTTCTCACAAGCAAAGAATGGGGAAGCTAGTTACTAACAGCTGCAGTGATTCACTGAACTACTGTGGCAATAAAGGTCATAAAATGGGGACAAAATTCACTTAACAACTGTTTTGCTTAGCAATGGAAATTTTGGGCTCAATTGTACATGTTCCAGTGGAATGTTCTGAATTGAACAGATTGATTTCAAGCTTGGAACAAAAGAGCTTTTTTTCATTTTTGCATGTCCCTAAAAGATACCATGCCTTTTTAGATATTACTTTTTTCTAGTTATTAAGCATTCAAGTTGGCTATTATTATGTTTTCTTCTGGTCAGTTAATGGAGGCAAAATAGAATATCCTGAACCAGGATGTTAAATTATAAAAGATAGACAGGAACAAACATAATTTCTTGCTTTCTTGAAAATGCTTACATTTCCACTAAGAAGGTAACTTATTTGCAAACTAATTTTATCATCTCCTTTGGGAAATTGAAGACTCCTGTCATAGCTCCAGAAGAAAGCACAGATAAAATAAGATTACAGACATGCTGAGGTGGGAAATAGCCATCTGCTTCCAAACGCTATTTCCTCACAGTGGGAAAAATTCTTTGCAGAAATTAACAGAGCAAAACATACACTATGCTTCTAGTCAACGTTTTGAAAGTTATATGTTTTGCAGTCGATTATGATTATATTTGATTGTTAGGTGTGGAAAAGGGCAAAACAGCTCTGCAACCATAAGTTATACCTTTTTTTTCTACTGAAAACTAAAAGCCATAAAATGAGCACAGGATAGTGCTGCTAATAGGTCAACCCCCACCCATTAGATTAGTGGTTCTCAACCTTTTTAATGCCGCGACCCCCAACCGGTCGTAAGTCAAGGACTACTCAACTGGTGCAGCACCGTTTGCAGAATGGGACTTTTGGCGGGCTCAGCAGGGCAGAGACAGCCTGGACAATTCCTATTGGCTTTTGAAAGCCAATAGAATTAGACTCTATTCAAGAGAGTCTATTCTTGTTGTTGTTAATTGCGAAGTCGTGTCCGACCCATCGCGACCCCATGGACAACGTTCCTCCAGGTCTTCCTGTCCTCTACCATCTTCTGGAGTCCATTTAAATTCACACCTACTGCTTCAGTGACTCCATCCAGCCATCTCATTCTCTGTCGTCCCCTTCTTCTATTGCCCTCAATCTTTCCCAGCATTAGGCTCTTCTCCAGTGAATCCTTCCTTCTCATTAGGTGGCCAAAGTACTTGAGTTTCAACTTCAGGATCTGGCCTTCTAAAGAGCAGTCGGGGTTGATCTCTTCTAGGACTGACCGGTTTGAACGCCTTGCAGTCCAAGGGACTCGCAGGAGTCTTCTCCAGCACCATAGTTCAAAGGCCTCAATTCTTTGGCGCTCAGCCTTTCTTATGGTCCAACTTTCACAGCCATACATTGCAACTGGGAAAACCATGGCCTGGACTATACGCACTTTTGTTGGCAGGGTGATGTCTCTGCTTTTTAGTATGCTGTCTAGATTTGCCATAGCTTTCCTCCCCAGGAGCAAGCGTCTTTTAATTTCTTGGCTGCAGTCCCCATCTGAGGTGATCTTTGAGCCCAGAAAAATAAAATCTGTCACTACCTCCATTTCTTCCCCATCTATTTGCCAGGAATTGAGAGGGCCGGATGCCATGATTTTGGTTTTCTTAATGTTGAGTTTCAAGCCAACTTTTGCACTCTCCTTCTTCACCCGCATCAAGAGGCTCTTTAGTTCCTCTTCACTTTCTGCCATTAGAGTGGTATCATCTGCATATCTTAGGTTGTTGATATTTCTCCCGGCAATCTTAATTCCAACTTTTGATTCATCTAGCCCTGCCTTTCTCATGATGTGCTCTGCATATAAGTTAAATAGGCAGGGCGACAGTATACAGCCTTGCCGGACTCCTTTTCCAATTTTGAACCAATCAGTGGTTCCGTGTTCGGTTCTCACTGTTGCTTCTTGACCCGCATATAGGTTTCTCAAGAGACAAATGAGATGGTCTGGTACTCCCATCTCTTTAAGAACTTGCCACAATTTGTTGTGATCCACACAATCAAAGGCTTTTGCATAGTCAATGAAGCAGAAGTAGATGTTTTTCTGGAACTCCCTAGCTTTCTCCATGATCCAGCGTATGTTGGCAATTTGATCTCTAGTTCCTCTGCCTCTTCGAAATCCTGCCTGTACTTCTGGTAGTTCTCGATCCACATACTGCTGGAGTCTAGCTTGTAGGATTTTAAGCATAACTTTACTAGCATGTGAAATGAGTGCAATGGTGCGATAGTTTGAACATTCTTTGGCATTGCCTTTCTTTGGAATTGGAATGTAAACTGACCTTTTCCAATCCTGTGGCCACTGTTGAGTTTTCCAAATTTGCTGGCAAATTGAGTGTAGCACTTTTACTGCATCGTCTTTTAAGATTTTGAATAGCTCAGCTGGAATACTGTCACCTCCACTAGCTTTGTTGTTGCTCAGATTTTCTAAGGCCCATTTCACTTCACATTCTAGGATGTCTGGTTCGAGGTCAGTGACCATCTCATTGTGGTTATCTGGGATGTTAAGCTCATTCTTGTATAGTTCTTCTGTGTAGTTTTGCCATCTCTTCTTAATCTCTTCTGCCTCTGTTAGGTCTCTGCCATTTTGGTCCTTTATCATGCCCATCTTTGCATGAAATGTTCCCTTCATATCTCCAATTTTCTTGAAGAGATCTCTGGTCCTCCCTATTCTGTTGTTTTCTTCTATTTCTTTGCACTGTTCATTTAAGAAGGCATTCTTATCTCTTCTAGCTACTCTCTGGAATTCTGCATTCAATTGGGTGTATCTTTCTCTTTCTCCTTTGCCTTTCGCTTCCCTTCTTTCCTCAGCTATTTGCAAAGCTTCCTCAGACAGCCATTTTGCTTTCTTGCATTTCTTTTTCTTTGGGATGGTTTTAGTTGCTACCTTTTGTACAATGTTGCGAACTTCCATCCATAGTTCTTCAGGCACTCTGTCTATCAGATCCAGTTCCTTAAATCTATTTGTCACCTCTACTGTATATTCATCAGGAATATGATTTAGTTCATACCTGAGTGGCCTAGTGCTTTTCCCTACTTTTTTCAATTTAAGCCTAAATTTTGCAACGAGAAGCTCATGATCTGAGCCACAGTCAGCTCCTGGTCTTGTTTTTACTGACTGTATAGAGCTTCTCCATCTTTGGCTGCAGAGCACATAGTCAATCTGATTTCTATGTTGACCGTCTGGTGATGTCCATGTGTAGAGCCGTCTCTTGGGTTGTTGGAAAAGAGTGTTTGTTATGACCATCGTATTCTCTTGACAAAATTCTATTAGCCTGTGCCCTGCTTCATTTTGTACTCCAAGGCCAAACTTGCCTGTTATTCCGGTTATCTTTTGGCTTCCTACCTTAGCATTCCAATCCCCCATGATGATAAGGACATCATTTTTTGGTGTTAATTCTATAAGGTGCTGTAGGGCTTCATAGAACCGGTCAATTTCATCCTCTTCAGCACCAGTGGTTGGGGCATAGATTTGGACTACTGTGATATTGAATGGTTTGCCTTGGATTCGAATTGAGATCATTCTGTCATTTTGGGGATTGTATCCCAGTATTGCTTTTCCTATTCTTTTATTGACTATGAAGGCTACTCCATTTCTTCTGAGGGATTCTTGCCCACAGTAGTATACCTGATGGTCATCTGAGTTAAATTCACCCATTCCTGTCCATTTTAGTTCGCTGATTCCTAAGATGTCGATGTTCAGTCTTGTCATCTCTTTTTTGACTACGTCTAGCTTGCCTTGATTCATGGATCTTACATTCCAGGTTCCTATGGAGAAAAAATCTTTACAGCATCGGACTTTCCTTTCACCACCAGATATATCCACAGCTGAGCGTCCTTTCGGCTTTGGCCCAGTCGCTTCATTCTTTCTGGCGCTACTAGTACTAGCCCTCTGCTCTTCCCCAGTAGCATATTGGACACCTTCCGACCTGAGGGGCTCATCTTCCAGCATCATATCTTTTTTCCTTTTAGTACTGTCCATGGGGTTTTCATGGCAAAGATACTGGAGTGGTTTGCCATTTCCTTCTCCAATGGATCACATTTTGTCAGAACTCTCTGCTATAACCTGTCCGTCTTGGGTGGCCCTGCACGGCATAGCTTATAACTTCATTGAGTTACGCAAGCCCCTTCGCCACAACAAGGCAATAATCCATAAAGGGGGAGTCTATTCTATTGGCTTTCAAAAGCCAATAGAATAAAAGGGAGTAGCGCAGCTAAGGAAAAGGGGGAAAAAATGGCGGACTGCGTTTGGCGACCCCTGTGAAATGGTCATTCGACCCCAAATGGGGTCCCGACCCACAGGTTGAGAACCACTGCATTAGATTCTTAAAAACAATTATTTTGTGCATATATGTAGCACCCCGAAAAAATTTATATCCAAATGTAGTTGGAACTATAGCAACCTACACTAGAAAACATATATTTATTTTCAACTCTATAGGACACTTAGCTCAGGGTTCTTTATAGTTGGCAGGTTTAAGATGTGTCAGCTTCAATTCAAGTCCCAGAATTCCACGTCCAGCCTGAAGTCCACACATTTTAAGGCTGGTAAGTTTGAAAAACACTGCTCTGGGCCAGGGGTGTCAAATTGCCGGCCCGCAGGTTGGATGCGTCATGGCGAAACCACGCCCACCTCATTGCCAGCAATGGGAAAAAAAGTCGTGATACATTGCGACACATCACGTGATTTTGCGAGTTTGACACCCCTGCTCTAGGCTGTCCTCAATACGGTAAAGAGTATTTAAATATTGGGATTTCCAAGTGACATGTTCCTTCAGTAAAACTGGAATAATGGGTGATATAAAAGTAGGTGGACCAAAGTTTCTAACTTCAAAAAAGACTCCTCTCTCTATCAGACTACTAATAGAGAGATGAGTAAAAATAGAAGTTTATGCATGATTTAGAATGGGTTATATTCTAAATATAACTGCAAAACTAAGTTCAGTGTTTGGGATTCATTTTTTTAGCATTTATAACTATCTAAAGAGCTAAAATGTTGGGTGAAAAAAATGAGGGATATTGGTGCCACTGTAAGGAGGGGGGGCACAGGTACAAAGATGAAAGTCAGTCATTTTCTTTCAAAGCTGAAACCACTAATCACAATAGTTTTTGTAAAAATAATTCCATGCAGTACTTACTGGACCTGTAATAGCAGGATTCTGCAACCTGGGATCTTCCCACTGAGTAATTTTATTATCTGAAAATTAAACAAGAAAAAATGCAACGTGTTTTTTTCCCTTCATATTCCATTCCATTTTTAAAACAAAAACAACCACAACCAAACAACAACAATAAATGGTCAGGTACTATTGAAGAAAAAAGGACTTTATATGTAAAAATGTCATTTTAAAGAGCAGCAAGGAGCAGTCGCCTATCTTTGGGTTTCATTTAGCCACCTGAATCCCATGTAAACTATTCTATAATGCAGAGGCTGCATTCTGACAAGGGACAAAGTATTTTGAATTGAACCATTTCAGCCAGCTGTTCTGAGCTTGAAGCAGCTGTCTGATGCTTCCAATGTTTCCAAAGCGGTTGGGGATGGGAAAAATCCACTATCAATGTAAAGGAATAACTCTGAGGCTGGACATTTTGAAGTTTGAATGGTTTGAACTCAAAATATTTTGCATTTGGATGGATGCTTTCACTTCATCCACTAAAGCAGTGTTTCTCAACCTTGACAATTTTAAGGCATGTGGACTTCAACTCCCAGAATTCCACAGCCAGCATTGCTGGCTGTGGAATTCTGGGAGTTGAAGTCCACATGCCTTAAAATTGTCAAGGTTGAGAAACACTGCATTAAAGGGAAAATATTTGAGTACACTGGATGCAGCATGATTGCAATATATTTATTACATATATTATGTCAGGGGTGTCAAACTGCTGGCCCGTGGGCCGGTTTCATCATACCGGAGCCACACCCACCTCATTGCCGGCAATGGCAAAAAAGCTCCGATACGATGCGCGACGTCACATGACGTCGCGAGTTTGACATGTCTGTATTATGTGATGTATTTGCAATCCCTAACCAGCACTGGATTTTACCTGGAGTTATGGCAGTTCTAGATCACACATTGGAGGACGGCTTGGGTGATGGTTTGGGGAAACCTGACTTAAGTATTCCAATCATCCTTTTGTATAACAAAACCCTTTAAGAAACTTTTAAGTCCTTTTCTTAAATGTTGATTCCACCTTTTTGGTTTCCCTTTGCTTCTCTTTCCAAATTTAATTCTAGCTAGTCTCCATCCAGATACCTTTAGAGCATATTTGTTTGCCTACAATTAGGAAAAATATTTCTTTATTCTTTATTACAGAGAGCAGAGCAAGGTTCGAAGTTTAAAAAGTGCAATAAAGAAGCAACTTAAGAATCTGAATTTCCCTGAATAATCTGTCATTCATTTAAAGACCCCCATCTACGCTCTAATAATCTCTAACAGATATATTTTTTAAATGGGGTGTTTTACGATGGTAAAATATAAAGCAGTGGATGCTGCTGCCCATGTTAGGATGGGGTGGCACCTAAGCTGGCACTGAAATCATGAGATTGGGCAATCACAGGAATTCTGGGCAACTAATATAAAACTGTTTTCCACAGTTAGTTGCCAAATGCTCTGCAGCCTAGTTGCTGACTTCTAATTGCTGGTGTTCTAGCAAGATCTAATTGAATTGTTTGGGAAACACACTTCGCTACTTTTCATTCCCTAATTATATTAAAAGCTATTTTGTTTGTTTTATACTTTTTGGTATCTTCTTTTTCACTCTGTGTTGAACATCTTTTAATAAGGGACAAGCACCTCTTCTCCTGTGCAAAGAATTTAATATCTGATGGTCACATGATATTTGTATTAATGCAAATTCTGTATGTTAACCATTGCTGCCATACAATATCCTCACAATCTCCTCTTTCAGAGAGGGAGGAATCTTTATTGTTCCTTCATCAGCCAAGAAAAGTTAAGAGGATGTGGAACCTCTTGCTAAATAGAATTTGGTTAAGGTGCAGAGGTGATAAAAAGGACTATTGTCATTTATTTTTCTTCTTCTTGTGCCATATCCGGCGATCCTGTTTTTATCAGCAGCCGCACAAAAAAGTGCTGCTGAAGTTTGCCCAAACCAGTCCCTTAGATTTTGAAGCCGTTTTGAAGCCATTTATTTTTACTTTTCTCTATTTAGTCTAATTCAAAATTCTTATTTCATAAAACACATTGAATATTTTCTTAGTACAATCTTTTTTCATAGGAAATCGGTTTTTGGGCAGCCCCTACAAACAAGGGAAAAAAAAATTTTCTGGAAGGCGTAAGATTGATATGGATTTTTAAGTACAAAGTGCATTTTTCTAGGGAAAGGCACAGCGCAACATTACAACGTATTGTTGACATTCAGGAAGCTATTAAGGACCTGGCTGTTTTCCTAGGCTTTTCCAAAGTGATGCTTGAGCCCCCATTGGATGTGTGATTTTTTTTTTTTTTTTGGGGTTATGTGTTGTTTTAGGGATACTGATGATTTCTTTCTGTCTTTTGCAATTAAAAAGAAAATAACTGGAATTATTACATCCAGAATTCTTGGAAATTGGACAGCTTATCAATTGTATGTATGAATAAATAAATCAAAACAAAATAAGGTAGTCCTTGACTTATGACTGGTTGCTTTAACAACTGTTTGAAGTTATGATGGAACCCCCCCCCAAAAAAAATCTACTTAGAACCTGATTTCAATGCTCATGTGATTGTATTTTTGGTACTTGGTAACTACCTCACCTTTACGGCTATTTGCAGCATTCCGCAGTCAAGTGACTGCAAGTTTCAATTTTTTTTGACTATTTCCAGTGTTTACTTCTGATTTCTGGCAAAAAATGCCCTTGGGTAAAATAGATTTGTTTAATGACTGCAAACAATGCCAAAAAAGTAGGTCCAGCCATGTGATATCTCAGCTTATGACTGCAACAATGTATGACTGAAATCTTAGGCTCAATTACAGTCATAAGTAGAGGTCTACCTGTTACACTTCTAAAATCTTGTACTGTATGACTGGGCTGCATATTCTTTTCCCAAAGCTGTCAAGGCAACTGAATATCCTCTTAAAGCCTAGAAACTTGTTCTACACTGATGAGTCAACTAAGGACAATTTTATCAGAGAAAAACTATGAAGTTCACATTGATGACCCCCCCCAATCCACTTTGCTAATAGGCAAAGTGGCTTAGAAAAAGTGTTATTTGAAAGCACGATGGAATCAAGAATGATTAAAACCTTTTTTTTTTTAAAAAAAGTCAACTATAGTGGTTAGCCGCAAAAACTTCCATCATTTACAGTTAATCATTCACCTTTACTTTGGCCCTAATAAATGAATTTCCCAGCTGTAGCTATTAGGAACTTAAAAGTGAAATAAATCAAGATTTCTCTCAAATTTTCAAGTGTATGCATATGAATGTATTTACAGGTAGTCCTTGACTTATGACAACAATTGAGCCTAAAATTTCTGTTGTTGAGTGAAACATTTGTTAAGTGAGTTTTTCCCCATTTTATGACTTTTCTTGCCACCGTTGTGTGAATCACTGCAGTTGATAAGTTAGTAACAAAGTCCCCATGGACTTTGCCTGTCAAAGATAGCAAAAGATGACCACATAACCTCGGGACACAGCAACAGTCACAAGTATGAACCAGTTGCCAAGCATCTTAATTTTGATCACATGATCATGGGGATGCTACAAAGTTTGTAACTGTGAAAAATGGTCATAAGTCACTTTTTTCAGTGCTGTTGTAACTTTGAACTGTCACTAAATGAACTGTTGTAAGTCGAAGACTACTTGTATTTGCTAGATTTATATCCCGCCTGTCCTTTTGGGGTTTACGGCAGCGTGTACATCACACCAACCCTGTATGGTAGGTGGAGCTGAGTTATGGTGACAATCCAAAGTTACCCCAAAGGTTATATGTGTGAGATAGTATAAGGACATTATCAGCTCAAAAACTGAAAGGTGTCAAAAATCCATTCTTTTTGTTGAGACCTTCAGAGATTGGATGAAAATGTCTGATGTATGCAAGTTGAACTTAAGTGCCGTTAAAAACCCACTTTTCTAAAACAATCACTGTTTTAGAAAAACAGTCTTGTTTTTTGTTTTTGGAAAAGACACAGCTTTGGGACTGTGACTTTCATAGATGGGCTCAAATGATCTCAACCACTTTTGGAATTTAGGGCTGATGTTTTTCCAGTTGGGTTATGATTATTTGTAACTTACAACTGCATAACCAAATTGTCTCCCTTCCTTCCTTATCCACCTCCATCCTGTTGCTTCATCTCAATTGAAATCCTGGATCAGTCTAGTCCAGGGGTGTCAAACTCGCAACATCACGTGACGTGTCGCGAAGTATCACAACTTTTTTTTCCATTGCCGGCAATGGGGAAGGCCCGGTTTTGCCATGATGTATGCAGCCTGCGGGCCAGCAGTTTGACACCCTGGTCTAGTCCAAGATTTCTCAACCTTGGCAACTTTTAAGTGCTGTCTGGGGAATTCTGGGAATTGAAGTCCACACATTTTAAAGTTCCCAAGATTGAGAAACCCTGGGCTAGCAATTCTGTGATGAAGATTTGATGAAGGGGGCTGCAGCTCATGAAAGCTGATGCCTTTTAATAAAATGTGTTAGTTGGAGAAAGTGCTACCAGAACTCTCCTGATTATTTGCTATTGTAGACTTAACACAAACTTCCTCCTACAATGCCAAAGTTCAACTTGAGCCTATATCCCCAGTACTAACCCAATAAAGTCTGGCCCCTCTCATTAACAAGTAGTTCAAAAGATCACTTCTTGTGACATAAATGCTGCTTTGACCAATAAAGCTCTGTCTGACTTGACATCTATAGGACTACTTTTCCAACCAGAATTAGAAGTGCTGGGAAAAACTTTTCCTTCCCGGAAAAGCTATTAATCATTCTCCATTTCTATGAAGTGAGGAAGCCGAGGCCAGCAGTAATTCTACTGCTGCCCTGATCCTATGGACAGTATCAGATACGCTGCTTCCCTGATGGAGAAAATGCTTCAAAGAATTAATGCATAATTGCTGCCATTGTTTTCCTGGGATTGTTTATGTGTTGAGGTTATTTGGTTTGGAATATCCTGAGGAGTTCAACTGGAGTAATTTATTTTAATATACATTTACTTTCATTTGCAGCATCTTAATGTTCTCCTGCATTTTCATTACCGAATTTATAATGCTTTCTCATGTTGTTATTACTGTAAACCTCCAGGAATCCATGACTGATATGGTGGGGTTATATATATGTGATTAATAAAATGAAATCATTAAAATAAAATAAAGTCTGAATCCAGCAGTGAACTCGCATGGCCATCAGTCTTATTGTACAGGAGAAAAAGATTCACTAAGCAAAGCAAGAGATATATACTATTGCAAGGCTGCAGTGATTCAACCAAGCTGGTTTTAAGACACTTCCAAATTCCAAACAGGGTCGAGATTCACTGAGGTGTGCCTGATTTTACCCTGCTCTCTTTATGGCAGCAGAAAAAAATACATATTGATACTGCTGCAACAAAAGGCAAGGCCTTACAAGGGATGATGACAGAAAAGAAATGCTTAATATGCAGTGTGCCTACTTCAGTACCAGTGCCAAATTTTTAAAAAGGTGACCTGTTTTGGCATGGAGTAACAAACATCTGAGGAAGCAGAACTATTTAAGAGGAAAAGGAAGGTCAACAATCGAAAAGGTAGAACCTAACTACGATCATTTCTGTCTTCCAAAAGCAGTAAAAAAAACCAAAACCACCAGAATTGGTCATGGAGCATTTAGGCATTTCTTGGTTAATTCTGTAACAATTCTAGGAAGAGTTTAATCTGATTCTAAATGTTGATTCCATTTTTTAATTTAAAAGATATGATTCTACTTAAAACCTTATTCATGCATTTTCAAGATTCAGAAGCTACTTTATATAGGCAATCTTTATAAAAAGTAACTTAACATTATGCAACTAAGTACCATTGTTAATTGATGGATATTCAAAGACAACAGAGATTAAAACACTGATGCAATAATTTTAAAAGGTTAATTTTTCAAGTTTCATACAGCTGTTTTCCTTTCATATTTTTGCTCAAGAACACATTGAGCAATTAATATGTATTTATGAATTTTTTTAAAAAGAAAAATCACAAACATTCCCAGTTGAAGAACAATTATTTCTGTTGCCACTTGAAAATCAAAACACAACAAATATCCACACACTTGTTCAGAAGTGCTGTAATAGGACATATCTACAATGAAACACCATTTAGACTAGGACTTCAAGGAACGAAAGTGGATAGAGATTAACAGGGTGGGTGCAAACTAACATGCCACAAATAGAAAATAAGGTCAGAACAGGCATTGCCCCAAGACCTTCTTTAATTAATTCGTGAGGGGAAAGATTCTAGCAAAAATTTCTTCTACTACTTGTGTTATATTCAGACTCATGGCTACATTATTCGGGTTTTTTTTTCTCATCTTATTTTCTATTCCTAGAGTGTGCTTCCATTCATTAATAAGTGCATATAAGCCATGGGATCCATCCACAACACCAAAGAGAAAAAAAAATAAAAGAAATTCCAAAAAATTCAACAAAAACAACCACAAAGAAGAAATGTTAATGCTTCACAAGATCAAATAGGGACAAAGCTTGATGAGCCAATTAAAGCAAGCTTTTGGTGAATTGTACAGTACCGTAAGAGGGCACTAAGTCTCGGGTATGAATCTCGCCACATAGCAACACCTGGCTTCCTAAATGAAGAGTAAAATTACAAAGCTTTCACTTCAATAAAGATTACCTCCCTTCATCTATTCACTGTAGAGCCTGCATGCCTACTTACTATGATCTATATAAAATGTTCTTCCATCCAAATGAATCCTTTCCTCCCAACCAGGCTGTAATTAAAGAACAACAAAAACAACATCAGAAGCAGAATTAATATTTATTGCAGCATTGTTATATTCAAATACTTCTAAACAGGCATATAGTTTCATTTATTCTCCCTTACATTTTAAAGAATGTTTCATGCATTATAAACTTAACATTGAAATTGTGGAGTTCACTAACATGATCTAACCCAGGGGTAGGCAACCTTGGCTCTTTTATGACTCGAGGACTTCAACTCCCAGAATTCCTGAGCCAGCATAGCTGGCTCAGGATTTCTGGGAGTTGAAGTCCACGAGTCATAAAAGAGCCAAGGTTGCCTACCCCTGACCTAACCCATGCCTAGCAGAATCAAATGTTTTTTGAAAATGCTGTCTTCTGACATTGAATAAAAAAAGAAACTGATTCCAAAGAACCCCATGGCGATTTCTTTCTTCCAGTAAACAGACTGTTGCAACCAATGGTTTATTATTAGTCAATCTCCTGACTTAGGATGCCACTGAATCTTGCCTATAAAGGAGAATATTTGTAACTCAGGGTTGAAATGAGGGGTCTCTCTGAGCTTGGTTGTTTTCTTGCAGATGTTTCATTATCCATATTAGCTAATGTTGCTTCCCAAACTGCATAGCATATATAGAACACATAGGGAATGAAAGAAAAAATACTCTTGATCTAGTCCAGAAGTAGCATCCTTTTGAGGTGGCAGACACCTCTGTACATTTTTTACACTGTTATCAGCTCTCCCCTGAACCAAATTAAAGAATACAGATAAATAGGTGAGTATATTTTAAATAAATGAAAAGTAGCCAAAATATCATGAGGTCTAATGTAAAGACATAGAAACCTTCTGAAAATTGGCAATCTTGCGCAAGGTGGTCATTTTAATTAATCGATATAATGTTGCAGGTCAGGGAGTAAAACAATACCAACCATTGAACAATTTCCTTTTTAGGAAATGCTACATTATTTTGCTTCTCCAGCTGCCTACAAAATTTTGAAGGGAGAAGAGAGAAAGTGCATTTTCCTCTCTCTGCATCAGGAATGGGAACAAGATAGCTTATATTTCATTAACAAAAAAGTAAAAAAATAAGTTTTAAAAAAATAAAATTATGTATTTTATTTGGTTAAGTATGTATAAAGAGATGGCTTCTATTTCTCAAGTTGTACATATGCAGAAATAGCCAAAAGTATGGCTGCTGATGCAGCTGCCTCCAAAATCTCATCTGTTCCTTCCTTCCTTCCTTCCTTCCTTCCTTCCTTCCTTCCTTCCTTCCTTCCTTCCTTCCTTCCTTCCTTCCTTCCTTCCTTTTCTTCCTTAAAAAAAAATCAAATAATTTCTTTCCCTCTCATTAACATTTTGCAAAAGGGAAGAGTAGAAAAATGCGTTTTTCAGGAAAATGCCCAGCTTGCTTCCATCAAGAAAATGACACTTTTTGCAAGACTTCAACTCTGCCTGGGAAGAAAATTACTTTTTCTCCTTCTCTGGGGAGGCGTGGGAGGAGGATGGAGAAAATAAATTAAAGGGGTTTGTTCCCACATAGATTGTTTTGGTCAAAAATTGCCAATATGTCTTCTTCCCATCTCCTCACACTAGTTGTGAAGTCTCTGTTTGCTGTGTTTTTGGTGCAGGGGTAGGCAACCTTGGCTCTTTTATAACTCATGGACTTCAACTCCCAGAATTCCTGAAACAGCATGGCTCAGCTTGGAAACCTCTCCCGTTCCCCTCAGCATGGCTGGCTCAGGAATTCTGGGAGTTGAAGTCCACGAGTCATAAAAGAGCCAAGGTTTCCTACCCCTGTTTTGGTGTATGGGATGTGCTTTTGTAGATGTGTAGGATTTTCTGCTTACTGTTTTCCAAGTTTAATTGTTAACTATCCAGAGTCATTCTGGAATTAGTTAGCCTCTAAATCTAAAAAATACCAGCAACAATAATATTACAGGAATTAAAAAAACCCTTCCACAGAAAATATAATGGAATAAATTACTTATTTTCTCTAATGAGGACATGATATACTAGGATTGTGTTCTTTCCCACTGTGTTTTTTGCAAGAAGGAGCAGCAAGAAATGGCCACCAGTTTCTGCACTGGCCTTAAGCAGAGAGTTAAACCATCTTTACTCCCCACAGTTGAGGAAGAAAAAAAAAGTTTTTCCTGTAAATTAAAACTTTTGTAGACAGAGGAGAAAAATTTGAACAAAAAAGAAAAGAACTCCTTTTGTTCACTCCTCAGAAAGCATCAAGGAGATGCTGTTGGTATGCTGCAAGTATTTTTTTTAAACAGCCCAAATTACAGGAAGGTAGACAAAAAGCCTTTAAAAATAGACCTTTGGGGGTTTGACAAGAGAGAGAAGGCATTCACTTAAAGAAAGGAGATTTATCTAGCTGTAATTGCAACTAAAAGAACGTTTTACATATCAGTTTGAGTATTTACATTCATAAGAACAGCATGATAAGGACATTAATCTGTTCTTACATATGAGAAATGTAGAATTAAATACAAAGATAATACAGAAGGTAATGTTAGAATAGCAAAAGAACCAAGCTTTACTGTGTGCAAGACAGGGAAAGGAATTTTTATTCTGTTCTCACAAAGATGGATGTGAATATTTTAAAGTTTACAATAAAAAAAACACATTTTAGTATCTTAACTGGTAAACAATATTTTTCTTGCTTTAGCCAATCGTTAAAAAGCAAATTAGGTGTTCTAAAGATTCAGTGCATTGTCTAAAGTCTGATAATTAAAAAATGAGTATTTTATTCCCAAGAGAATTAACATAAGATAATAATGCAGAAGCCCAGGTTTTGAAAATACATATTAAATATGGCTTGATTGAATTATTATCTAATGCAAGAAGAATCTACACAAAATGACTTCCTGTTGATGACATATTTTATCATTATTTTAAAAATGAGAACCAGGAAGAACACATGGCTATAGCAAACCCAGACCATAAGCTTTGGGCAGAGATTCCATTACAATAATACCTGAATATATACAGTAGTTATTTCCTGGTTTTGAGAAACAAATATTTAACAGCAGAACCAGGTTTTCTTTCAATTTCTACCCTAATTATGGAAGCCTTTCCTAGCATCTCTAGGCAGGGCTGGAGAAGACCTCTGACTAAAAACTTGAACAACCACTATCAAAATAGACAGGTTTGGTTCAGAGCTGCATTCTCCACGGTTACTCATTTTTTTATGTTATCCGAGTACCCAAATGAATTTAATGGGACTCACAATTAAATCTTAAGATGGGGAAAATTATAATAGCCCCTATATTACACATAGGAACCATGAATGGCATAAGAATCTAGCCATGTTTTACAATGATCCCTGGAACTCTTACTGTATGTGCTTCAACACAGACAAGTGGGTCCCTGAATACAGAAGATGTGACTTTTTCTGTGACAAATTCCAATTATAGGTGGTCCTCGTTTAATGTCCACTCATTCAGCAACTGTTTGAATAGACAACGCTGAACGAACGATAGTTACAACGGGGCCTTATACTGACGGCCATCACAGTATTCTATGGTCATGCGATTGTAAACTGTGACCTTCCCTGCCGGCTTCCCATAAAATCAAAATCAATGGGGAAACTGACAGGAAGTTAGAAGACATGGCTTTAGGAGATCCTTGTTTAACAACATGTATGGTCCTTAACAACGGCAACTGGATGAGCCAGAACGGCCATCACTAAACAGTACAGTCACATGGCTTTTTAACTTACTACAATACTGCACTGCTTAATGACTGACTTTCTGATTTCAATTAGCGTAGTGAAGCCCATGTGGAACTTTTTCTCAAGGGAATTCGGACCAGCTTGTCTTCCTTGCTCTTAAATGGCAGTGAAGACCATGCTACCTGTTCTACTTATTGGTTTTACTGTAATACAGACAGTCCTCAACTTACAACAGTTCGTTAATGACTATTCGAAGTTACAACGGGACTGAAACACTTATGACCACTGCAGCATCCCCATGTTCACGTGATTTGCATTTGGATGCTTGACAAGTGACTCACAATTATGACAGTTGCAGTGTCCCAAGGTCATGTGATCCCCTTTTGTGACCTTCTGATAAGCAAAGTCAATAGGGACACCAGATTCACTTAACAATCGTGTTACTAACAACTGCAGTGATTCACTTAACAAAAGTGGCAAGAAAAGTCGTAAAGTGAGGCAAAACTCACTTAATAAATTTCTCATTTAGCAACATAAATTTTGGGCTAAATTGTGAGTTAAGGACTACCTGTATATGTCCTTGCTTCTGTTTTTTTTAATCTTACTTTATTATTTGTAGTTTATTTTTTAGACTGCATTTAGTGGGCAAAGGGTCACTATGTCAAAAGAAGTAATGTTAGACTCCAGTACTGGATACAGTACTAGGATCCAAGAGGAAACTTCCATATGCCTTCCGAAACAGGAGTGCTTGCCAAGAGAGAGAGAGACACAATCTTTTTGAAACAGGTTATCCTGATCTTATAGGAACAGACAGTTGTTTTCAATTTTGAAAATTTATAACACAAAAGTGTTATAAATTCTGGATGAGAAGTTCTCAATAGTATATTGTAATAGTTACAGATGCTGAATTGAGAGAACATGCTTGCAGTGTTGAGATTTTTTTTTTTTGAGACAATTCTATTTTTGAGACACAAATAATACAATACTGTTACTCAGTTAAGGTCTTTACTTAAACTAAACTCACTAAGTTCAGTTCAAACTGATTTGAGTTACTTGCTTAGTTCAGTGTTTCTCAAACTTGACAACTTTAAGATATGTGGACTTCATCTCCCAGAATTCCCCAGCAAACATGCTGGCTGGGAAATTCTGGGAGCCAAAGTCTATACCTCTTAATGTAAACCAAGGTTGGGAACACTGCTTTAAACCTTTGAGCTACATTAAACTAACACATTTATCAGTTTTTTAAAATGTCTTAAAATGGCTAGCTATGAAGAAACTGTGGTTTATCTTCAAGAAGCAGACAAATTGAGAAGGGGAGAACCCAGACCACTGAAAATAACAAGAGTGATCCTGTTCTTTCTTCTGAAAAGGAAGCAAAGTGGCAGTATCTTTGCCTCTGAGTATAATCATGCAAAACATCTCTCTCTCACACACAAAGAGAGCGATGAAAGCTAAAATGATGGCTACTACTCAAACAAATGCCTTTGTTTGAGTAGTAGTGGTCATAAATGCAGGACCTGCAAAGCCACAGCCTTCGCTTATGGCTCTTTTACCATGTAGCTATATCTGTTCACAGTGAAACTCTTTAATGTTGCAATCAAATCAGATTACTGCAATAATTATACAAACCATAAATACATACACACCCTTCTCTCTTTCTGTCTTAACTGGGATACCTTCCAGATAGATATACTCAGCAATTCTGTGAAGAGCACCCAGGTAAGGAAAGGTTACCAAACTACATTTGCAACATGCACGAATGTTGTCTATTTCAAAAGGTGCAACATGGATACTTACAGGAAGTGGCCCCAAGTCATTTGGGTTTAAAGCCGCTTTTGACCGCAAGTGTACTGGAAATTTGAGTCGGGGATCTTCCTGAAGTGATAAGCAAACTGATGTAAGAACATCCATATTGAAATTTATTTCCTTCCTTCCTTCCTTCCTTCCTTCCTTCCTTCCTTCCTTCCTTCCTTCCTTGATTTCAGAAATATTTAACATTACTTCTTTTGCATGTTAATGCAAGCAAAAGAAGAAATGTTAAATGTTTACCGTTTTGCTGCAAAATCAAACAGCCATTTTCAAGAGATTGTTATGTAGTTATTCTCTTTTTCAGTAAAATAAATTAGAGATGATATGATTTACCAGGAAATTGAATAGCAAACCATTTCTTTTTCTTCTATATCTGCAGAACACTTGGAGCAAGAAGCACTGCATTTATGCCTTGGCTGTGATCCTGACAAAACTGTAAGAAAAGAGATTTCTACAGCAATGAGCAGAATCAAGTCATTCTGATGTCATGCGGGCACACCTAAATGTTAGACAGGTAAGAGAGCCAATTTGGTCTAGTGATTAAAGTACCTGGCTAGAAACTAGGGGACTGTGACTTCTAGTCCTACCTGGGTATGACTAGGTACTGAATATTTTTAGCAGGGGATGATTTGGGGTAGGAAAGAGAAGGAGAGAATGATCAGAAGCAAGGTGGATAGACTCAGTTACAGTAGCAATAAGTGAATTGTGGGGAAAACTGAAGGACCAGAATAGGGATAGACCATCATAGAGAAAATCTGTCTACATGATTGCTAAGAGAGAATGACTTTATAATATATAATCAATCAGATCAATCAACCAATCAATCAATGATTTGGGGTACATGGGCAGATGTTTAAACTATTGTAAACTGAATCCATAACAGGAAAAACAGTTGAAACTTGTTACCAGAAAACAAAAACTAGCAAATTGGAAAAAAAAAATGTACAGTAGTGGCCAAAATTGTGGAAACCTTTTGGGAAAAAGTGTATTTTTGAGATTTGATGGCTAATAACACCACTTTTTGGGGGGAGTAGTATCATAAAATTATATATCAATGGAAAGATAATTTAATCAAGAATGTAATGCAACAAAGTTTGTTCAATTATCTGTACTGTATTCTATGAAAAGTTATAGCCAAATAGCCAGAAAAAGGAAGCACAACTTGCATAGGTGGCTTTCCTTTATCTGATTGTAGCCAATGAGCATGAGTGTTTAGAGAGCCAATCAGGTGTCCTCTTGTTTTGGAAAGGAGCCAATCAGATCATGGTAGGATTAAGTTATTGATGTCATATATTGAAGCTGAGAGGAGGATATTTGTCAGTGTGTTATTGTGATTGCTATCAAGTTGGTTGAGGTTTTTTTCTTTCATTTAGTGAGCTTGCAAAACATAATAAAATTAAAGTAATGGTGCAAAGAGTTGACTGGTTGCCTAGAAAGCGATGTAAAATGGTATTATTAAGTGAACAAGGCTACAGTTATAAAGAAACTAGAAGAAAAATTGGTGGAAACTTAACCAAAGGTGGCATTTCTACTGCACACTTTCCACAATTTTGGCCACTACTGTAAGTTGCCAATCATCCCCCCTCCAGCCTTTACTAAAAGAAATTACATTTAAAAAATAAATAAGGTGTCTAATAATTGTGTGGATCCAAATTTTTGATTATCCTCTGCTTAACAACAATGATTTGAAAGTAGTATTTCTCCTTTTCCCTGTTACACACTTCTACACATGCAAGAAGTGAGAGTTCATCTTACCCATGTTGTGGTCTTGGTGTTGTGATCAATGAAAAAGGGTCTACCATTGGGTGCTATTCGCATCTCCCAGCCAGGAGGTAAGAAACTTTGTGTCAATTTATGCTGTGGTTTTGGAGAATTATATGGAGATGGTTGAGGAGACTGTGGATTAGAAAGGGTGTCCTTCACAGCTCTTCGCACAGGAGAGTCCTTGAGAAGTCCCTAAAGAAAAAAGAAATGTTAAGACAGCTACAACTTTGGGGTGCAATATGAATGACAATGAGTACCACAACCCACTTAGATCAAAAATTAAAATGATGGAAGATGTCTCCACCATTACAATGCCTGGAAAAGAATAATTTCCTAAATTATTAGAACATTACTTGAAAGTTTCCCATTCACACCAATTTGGCACTGTACCAATTAAGAACATTGGGTAGGAATCCATGGGGTTTAAGTTGGTAATATTTCTAAGAAAGATAAAGTATCAGGCTCTTGGATATTTGGTTGCCCCATTTTGTAGCTTCCCTATTTTATAATACAGGTAGATCTCACTTAATGACCATTTGTTCAGTGACTATTCAAAGTTGTAATGGCACTAAATGAATGGTAGTTATGACCAGTCTTCAAAGTTATGCCATTGCAGCACTCCCTGCAGACACATGATCAAAATTCAAATACTTGGCAGCCTACCCATATTTATGATCGCAGCTTGTGCTTTAATACCACCACCACCCATCCACCTACAGCAGTGTTTCTCAACCTTGACAATTTAAAGGCATGTGGACTTCAACTCCCAGAATTCCACAGCCAGCAATGCTGGCTGTGGAATTCTGGGAGTTGAAGTCCACATGCCTTAAAATTGTCAAGGTTGAGAAACACTGACCTACAGTATCTCCTCCCATCTCTGCCTGTTTGGCTGCCCTGCAGTCTCCTACTATTTCTACCTTTGCTGCCCCTGGCTGACTTTTGCAAGGGCTTCTGATACCATGAGGCTCCACAACTCTGCACAAGGCTTCTCTGAGGCCTGTGAGTGGCCTTGCAAAGCCTCCATGAAGCATAATAACAAGGTTGGAAGGGACCAACTCTCTGCTCAAGCAGGAAATCCTATATCATTTCAGACAAAGAGTCTCTTCTTAAAAATGTCCAATGTTCAAGCACCTACAACTTCTGGAGGCAAGTCATTCCACTGATTAACTGTTCTAACTATCAGGAATTTTTCTCCTTAGTTCTAGGTTGTTTCTCTCCTTGATTAATTTCCATCCATTGCTCCTTGTCCTGCCTTCAGGTGCTTTGGAGAATAGCTTTGCCCCCCTCTACTTTGTGATAGCCATTTGGGCAGCTGTTAGCCATTTGGGAGGCTGTATTTGGCCTTTCCAAGGGCCAGCACCTGTCTCAGCTCAGGACACTTTATCAGCAGTGGAAGGAAAAAGACAGAGGAGGTTAGCAAGAGTAGGTGTAGCAGCAACAGCAGAGTGGAGGACAGTCAAAAGAGCAGAGGTGAAGATGAGTTAAGCCGGTGGGGGAGCCCAGCAGAGTAGGAGAAGCCCGAGGTCCTTGCCTAATGACCACAGCTGAGACTACTGGAAATGCCATCTCTAAGTGGTATGGTCGTGTGATGTTTTGCCTAACATCACAGTGAAGCAATTGCTGTTGCTTCACTTAGCAACAGCAATTCCACTCCCAATTAGGGTAGTTAAGCAAGGACTACCTGTATCTTCTTTGAGGTTGATGAACAGTGCTGCATACAATATTCTGAGTCTATGGTTGCACCCTATGTTTATAAAAGCATTTTATTTTTTAATTCCTTTACCAATGAATTCCCATCACATTTTTAAAAGTATAACTGAGTCCTGCCAACTGCTGTCAAATACTCCACTGTTGGTCACCACCAGCTCAATTTCCATCACATGAAATTTGGATTCACCTCACCTTTTATATGCATTGCTTCACATATACTTATGTTGAACTATATTTGCCTCTTTAAAACAATCTTTCCATTTTGAAGAGTCCCTTTTTGTTGCATACACGATAGCAAAGAAGTTATAAGCTCATCTGCTCTACAGAAGGGGTGGGGTCCAAGATTTTTCTAAAACAAAGACATTTTTGTCTCTCTCATCCAGCCATGTTTTGCCTCCTAGGTTAGACATGCACAGGTAATTCTTAACTTACAACCACTCATTTAGCAACCATTCAAAGTTAAAACAGCACTGAAAAAGTGATTTACAATCAATCCTCACACTTATATGTGCTGCAGCATCACCATGGTCACATGATCAAAATCTGGGCATTTGGCAACTGGCATATATTTATGCCAGTTGCAGCATTCCAGGGTCACCTGCCTGCCATTTGTGACTTTCCCAGCTGGCTTCTGACAGGCAAAGTCAATGGGGGAAGCCAGATTTGCTGAACAACTGTGTGATTTGCTTAACTGCAGTGACTCACTTAACCACCACGTCAAAAAGGTCATAAAATTGGGCATGACTTTGCCTTGCTTAGCTGTGGAAATTCTGATTGCAACTTGGTTGTTTGTCAAGAACTATCTCTAGTACCCAATCCAACCACCATCAGGTGGAATCTGCAACTAATGCTAGCCAGAAAAAGAGTGGGAAGCTCAGAGAAGGGAAGGAAACCGTCCTGAGATGGATGGATTTATCAATCAATAAACCAACTAATCAACTTCCATACCATCTCAAAGCGAGTCTAGACATTTTACAGCACAAGATGAAAACTTCAAATTAAAAAGAAAAAAAAAAGACCAAGTCAATTCATGGCAGACATAGGGGAAGGGTAATTAAACATTCCATATCAACCAACCTGCTATACTCTACTACGGGGAAAAAAGTCAGTTTTTTGAAACTGCTAACCTCAGGAAGGACACTATTCCACAAGAATTGCATCATAAAGCTACCAGAAATCAAGCCCTAGCTTAAGCAAGTATATTGAAAGTATAAAACGTCAAATATGAATCATGATATTCAAAACCGAAATGCACACACAAGGCACCAAAATGTGTAGAACGTTTCTAATACAATGAGCTTACAAGATGGGAAGGAATACTCGAAGGAGCACATTACCTATTGGAAGATGAATGTATTAAGGGTCAAGGGAGATAATCAGATGGAAAAGCAATCCAATCTTAAATTGTTAAATGTGGAAAACTGGTCAGAATAAACAAGTGTAATCTTACAAAATAAAAACAAGTACAAATATGACTGAGGCACAAAAGAGACATTGTAAAGCTGGCTGGAGAACAGAAATGGTGAGTAGAATTAATGAGATGGGAAGAATGAAAACCCAAGAGGCAAAGCCTGGTTTGGGGAAGGGAACTTCTCACCTCAAGCGGTGCAGATAGTGTAACTGTGGGAGTACTGAGGCTACGAGGCCGTCTTATCTGAGGCTCGCTTAGATGGTTGTTACTGTTTGATGTTGACCCAGAAGCACCATCTTCAGCAAGCTATATAGAGGCAAACACAAGTTAGCTATAAGTTACGACCTCCTTTACTGAAAACTATTGTATAATGAAGGATGTCTGAATTCAATAAATCATGATTAACACTCCTCATTCATTCCCGCTTTCAATAAATAATGCATTCCAGTGGAGGGCATTCCAAAGTAGGAAACTTATTATAATTGAAATAATCTTCCATATGCATCCCAATATGGTTATTTTACTGGCATTTTTTGAATGAGTGTTTTCTCAAACTAGAGATGACATGAATGGCTGTTGTCTTCTGCACATCCCACAGAAACTTCTATCTAGAAAGTCATTCATGACCATGTGCTTGAACCAGTCTTTTGTCTATTAATCAAAATTTGGAAAAACCTCCAGTTATATACTGTTACCTATAAATTAATTGGTGCAGGTGCTTGCTTGTTTCGGTAATCGCCTTCTAGCAGTTTCCTCTATTTATATGATTCTAAATTATTGTCCACAGTATGTGCCTTTCCATTTTCTGGATAAATCATTTACATTTTTATTTCATTTTATTTCTTGGCTTAAGAAGTTCAATGGCATTAATGTTAATCATAGATAGCTATAGAAATGCAAGAATTAATAACTTTAAATCAAGATTTGAAAAGGACTGCTTTAGAATGGAGATTTATTAGAAAATCCTGTTTAATTTGATCTCATGTTTAATGCTGCTAAACTGTAATTAAGGAGCGGGCGGGAGGGAGTGCAGCTTGGAGCTAGCTCCAGTTTGTTAATTGCAATTAACAATGTTATAGCCCCAGGAAATTGCAATTTCACTCACTGCAAGCTGACAACTAAAGCTTCATTGAAGTGAGAGAGAAAGAGAAATCTGCTTTTAATCACCTAGTTGTAAGTCAGAACATGGCCTGGCGTTGCCCACTTTCCCTCCTTATCAATAGTGTGGATGTTAAGGGTGGGCTTGTGTTATGCTGCAGATCTGCCAAAGTTTGACGTACATGAGATTGGGCATTGGGCCTGTGCCATAGCAGATTCTGCCAAGGATAATGTACATCTCTTTTCACTGAGAGACAATTATTTCATCAGAACCTGTCCTCCCCCATAGTTTTCATCTGGAATCAGAAAGAACTGCAAATGATTATCAAGATCTCACTGCTTTCCTGGAGAAGAAGTTCATACCTGCATGACAGGCCGAGTCCAAGTTGTAGTGCGATTGTTATGATTGACATAATAAGTACGTCCCTTAGCATCTTTCCTCTCTTCCCAGCCTGAAGGTAAGCCCGGTGTAGTATGAACATAGGCCACTGATGGCTGTTTATGCAAGAAATTACCATAGTGTTAACTTTGTGGCAGTGAGTCATTCTTACAATCAGTAAGTGCAATAGAACAACTGAGAAGATATGTGTTGGCAGAACCCTTCCTTAAAAGGGTCACTTTCAGAAAAATAAAGATTCAGTTTTAATCACAAAAGCAGGGTTAGCAAATTCACAAGTAGATAGCAAGGAACTGAAATTCACAGAGGCTATAAATGCTGTCCAGTTTGACAAGGGTAATCGCCATTTTATCCTTGCTGAAGATGAGATCTGTTCATTAAAGATAGACAATCAAAATAGCAGAAGAATATAAAAAGCCTGGACATAATCAGTGCACAAGTACTAGGAGGACTGAGAACAAAGACAGTTAGAAAAGCTTTTATACTTTAAATGATGAAAAACTGACTTCATTTGCTTCACTAAAACGGTACCAATCAGACAAAATGGTCCCTAGTGGTTTATTGTAAGTGACTTTGGCTGGGTCACAAGCTGTGTTGTCTTCATTTCAAAGACATTGGCTCATTACTAAATCGACAGGCTCATTATATTGTTTAATATATGAAATTTGACATTTTCAATGCTTTGAACATTTTTCTTAAAAAGTTCCTGCTAATGACTGCATCCCCTTTGAGCAGCATTTTGATGTCATTAAATATGATTTAAATGTGACTTCCATTAGGAAGAACTGTCCTGTAATGATTAACCTTGGATTCTGGGATTCTCATGTTGCAACATTTTGTCCCTGGTTTGCAAAATAAATTGTAAAATAACTGGAATATTGAGAGCCTGCCATTCTTAATATTGACAAATAAGATATAGAATGCAACCTGCCATGAGACTCTGCCTCAACAAGCACAATAAACCATATAAATCTGCATCCGTGCATGCACAGTAGGAGTTCTATATTTATATACACTAAGAAATGGGTACATATTTCATGACCTCATATGTTTTTTTTATAAGTTAATGAAACAGATAGGAGCAAGGGAAACTTTTGATTAAAGTTGAACAATCTTTAAAATTACCAAATAATGCTTTTAGTTTTAACGACAAGCTAAAACGTGATTACTTGTGTAGATTACAAAATGTCATAAAAATACTCCCTTTTCTTCCTTCAGTGTTAAACATTACTTTACAATTTTGACGATCTGATTTTCTATTATTTTCTGATTCAAAGAGTCATTGCTATAAAATAATAGCAGGCCATGATTATTAAAGCTTGTGATTTTTACATGGAAAGAAAGATACCTTTAAATAATTTCCAGTACATGAAACAAACAAAAATTATTATTTTTATGTAATGATGCACTGATACACATTCGTTGGAATGAAAACAAACATTTTTAAACTCCTTTTTAAAAAGTAGGTAAGGAGAAATGTTTCCTGGTTTGTAAAAACATGGAATTCTTTTAAAATGAGAAAAAGGATCATTGCATAAGTCTGAGATGAAAAAAAACTAGAAAAATGGGTTACTTAGTGACATCAAGTTCAGTATATTAATAGAACATTACCAGAGTGTGTTAAATCAGTTTGAAAGCCAAATTTTATTCTCAGGTGGCCCCTCAATTTTATGTATAGGCTTTTGTTCTAAAAACGATTTCTTAATTTTAGCTATTTTTTTTGCAAATGGCAAAATATTGTTGGAATGCTCTGAGGCCTCAGGATGCTCTAGAACTCTGTCTCAAAGCAGGAAGTTCAGTACCAAAAGCTTTGCTGGTGTATCATGTCCATTGTTGCCTAGCCTATGACTGTGCTCCAACAATAGTGGGTTAGGAATACGACATATTAAAGGTACAAATTTGTCCACCATCACTGAGGAAAATGCATGTGACTGCATTCTGCCTGCATAGTATGAAATATCACAATATTATTGTTCTTCTAGATTATGAAATCATGGTGAGATGGATGGTAAATAAATCAAATAAATAAATAAAACACTTGGTATTATAACTTTACAAGTATTTCCTTCCTTCCTTCCTTCCTTCCTTCCTTCCTTCCTTCCTTCCTTCCTTCCTTCCTTCCTTCCTTCCTTCCCTCCCTCCCTCCCTCTCTCCCATTAGATTCAGCAGAAAATTACTAAACCATTTAACTGGACATATGCCAACATAGCCTGAACTTTTTAAAAGAAAAATGTACCAAAATGTGATAGTGATTATTCCTGATGGTTTTCTATTTCTCCCTCAACTTAAGTCTTATTTTTTACCTCAGATTCTAACATAAATTTGGTAAATTTAGAACCTTCTTTTTGTGCGGGTAAGCTTCCCCCCATCAGATAGTCTTCTCTGATGGCTGATAGCTGTGGAATCCACTGTAAATTGATTTATAATTGATCCATCCTACTGTTATCATATAATAATGAACAGTAGGTTTAAAGTGAAAAATATTCAATGCAGGAAAATTGTCTAGTTTTAACTGACATTTCAAAATCTGTAGTTTAAAATAGTGATGAGACCTCAATAAACAGATTGGTACAGAAGAGAAACAAATAAAATAAATTATTTGCTATTCAAATGAGAATCCTTTCATAGTGTTTTTTTTTTCAAAAAAAAACAAACATGTGACACCAAAAGTAAAAACTACTTTCTTAATAACAAGACATTTTTTCTGATTCTTTCCATTATCATTACGCCTCCTTTATCCTCCAATTTATAAATAAACATAGATAAAGAGAACACTGGCTCCCTGTCTTCTTGGCATCTCTGTTCTTGAAGAACAGCCACTGAAAACAATTGCAATTATTTTTTATTACTTTTGTTAGTTGTTTGTGTCTTACCTGTGGATGTCTGTTGGATTTCTGCAATAATCTGATTTATAAGTTTTTGAGTCTGGGAAATAGGGCCGTGCAGAGCAGTTGAAGTAGGTGGCCTGCAACATCTGCTAGCACAAATGAAGCATCTCTCTCCAAATAATTAAAATATTTTTTTTTTTTGCAGGGCTCTTATGTTTACTTCGAAAAGAGTTCACGATTGCCTTCACATGTGCATGCATGCTTCACTTTGTTGCTGGTCTCCATAGAAGAGCTGAAGGAGGCATGTGCACGCACGATAAGTTCAAACAACCCACATCAGGCAGTTGTACTAGTTGCAAGAAAGTCGGTTGGCTTAATAATTCAAAGGGAGGTGCTTGGTTTGTGCTAATACATGTTGCAAACCACTTCCTTTAAATGCTTTGCACAACTTCATTGGTATAGGCCAAGTGTATTTCTTCAAAATTTGTTTTAAGAATGTTCTGCCCCTTTCTGTTGTCTACAAATTGACATTCCTGTTTATGTAGCAATTATCTATTCCTACCTTCCTATATTCTCTGCTTGATTCAAATGAGAAAGACTCACACAGGTGCATCTCCACTAAGTGGAAGTCAGAGATGGGATAATTACTTGCTCATTAGGTAATCTACAGATTGTGAGAGGTAAATTCTATTTCACCTCTAATTTTTCTGCATGTATGCACACATAGATGATTCTTTGCCTTTCAGCTATTTCTCCTTTAGTTTAAAAAAGGAAACTGGGAAGCAATATTTTAATAAAACTTTAAAATACCACAGTTGGAGGCAGAGAAGAGAATTGGCTATCAGAAGTAACACCATGGGAAATATACAATTAGATACCGAGAATGTTTCCATAGTAGGAGTGTTGGCTGAAGTGGCTGAATAAATACAGAAGATATTCAAGCTGGGAGAATGGTGGGAAGATGCAATTTATTTCACTACCAAGGTATGGAAATGTATCTATGGAGATTCTTAGTCATCCAGGTCATGGATATCCCAAAAGTACTTTTTCAAAAGGCAACTGGATTTTCTTTGTTTTTCTTTGAAGACGTTTCGTTCTCATCCAAGAAGCTTCATTCTGACTCTTCAGAACTGAAGAAGCTTTTTGGATAAGAAGTGAAATGTCTTCAAGGAAAAATAAAGAAAATCCAGTTGCCTTTTGAAAAAGTACTTTTGGGGTATGGAAGTATAGTATTTGCAGAGTTGCACAAGTAGAGAATTTTCTAAAAGCGATCTCTGCCCAATCTAAAAGCAGAAGCATCTCCATCAAGGCCAAAAATGACAAGAAGTGTGAGGTGATGTCATCATGCAAATGCCACACCTGCCCACTTGCCTTCCAATGTCTGATACAAGTATTTTCATCATGATACAACATATGTTTTGCTTTGTTTTCTCACCATCCAACCCTGACATCTGAAACCCTGAAAGACTGATATTCTGACAACAAAGGGAAAAGAAAAGAAGAGAGATTTGAGTAAGAGAGGAGGAGGATGATATAGATTTGGCTGGATAAAAGTATTATTACCGTTGACTCTTCACCCCCAGTGACCGTGGAAGAACGAAGTCTCCTAGATGGGCCACTCGGCTGTTAAATAATAATAATTGTTATAGTTAAGGAACATTCAATATGCTAATTTGAAATAATGGCATTTTGATAAACATTTTGATCTTTATGTTATAGCAACGATAACAGAAATATGAAAGTGTCTATTACATACTAAGCCCCACTAAATACGTAGAGACAGCAAATCACAGAATTTCTTGCAACCATAATGGATGGGTATGCTGAGAGATTCAGACTATATATAGGTATGTATGTATGTATATATGTATGTATGTATGAATATATATTAGATCTGAATGTATATATATCATAGGCACCAGAAAAGAGAAGGCAATGTGTCCATGATCATTAATTAACTTTTTCTTCCCTGCAAAAGATAGAAAGACGATACCTACAACAAGAATGTGAACAATTAACAATTGGCCACAGCAAATGCATAGATTTCAGTAGAGTCAAGCTGAAAAAGAAGAACCTAAGCTTGATGATTTTCCCAGAAAAAAAAATCAAACTAGAATACAGAAGAACAGGGGGGAAAACCTTAGCTGATAAAAGGAGAAAAATGCTGTGTTTTACTGTTTGATCACATATAGGAATCCCAGATTAACATAATTAAGAGTATGTTCTTCCCCATAAAATCTGCCAAAGGTTAGTGTGAATTTTATATTCCCAGAAAAAAACCTTGTGGAAACAAGATAGAGTAACTGAACAAAGCATGTTGTAGTATAATTTCTATATGAATTACAGTGAGAGAAAACATATTGAGATCTAGCAAAGCACCCAATAGAGAGATACAAGCCAGAGATCTAATTTAGAATTACCCAAGACCTACACGTAACAGAGAATTATTCAAATTTGCACAGAAAGAGGGATGCATAAATATTTATTTGATCCATATCTGATGTAAACCAGCCTTATTTTTTCTATCTAGAACAACATCTGCTCCACTTCAAATTTTGGCCTGCAACATATATCAGCCCAATTAGCATTGAACCACAATAAATAGGTTCAATGGAGTTGAAATTCAAATCATGTTGAAGTGGCTTACAGAATACCCTATTATTATTAACATTTTGTATTGTATCTGCAAACTCCAAAGTTACCAAGAACATATAAAAGACATATTTCAGGATAAAGTACACATAGCAATGACTATTTCTTGATGAAATACTTTCAAAATACATACATCAACATTTCATATATTTTCTTTTTTAGAATATAACTAGAGTGGAAAAACTCTTTTCAAGGGTGACATGCACATTTTAAATACATCCCTAAATAAAAAGTAAATTAGGAGAGTATTGATTTGAAAATGGATTCATGCAAAAATGATGACCGTAAACTGTTCAATTGGGCTTATTTGTAGAAGAGCAGGCAGAGCTAGTGGGCAGACTTAAACATGTCATTAGCTAAGTGTCTTTACATTGCCATGAATGATCCAAATCCAAACTTTCTTAAATTCCATTGACCTTATCTGGCACCAATTTAGTGCTTAATTTTAGTTGACCAGATTCTTGTGCATAGCTTCTGCCCCCCCCCCCGGTCTGTTCTTCTACAATTTCCAGATATGATTCCTCCTAGTAAGCAATAAGTTATTTTATTTTGTTTTTTTCAAAATCAGCTTAATGGATATGTATGGAGGAAAGAGAGGCATTTCCTAAAGTATGCCCACACTGCCATTATGTGACCTGGTGGGAAAAATTATCCCCAAAATAAAATGTGGTACCTCCAACCTCAGGTGAAATAAAGTACAATAAATGGTGTTCATTTTAGAAGGAGAAAAACAAGGGAATATTCAAATGAATCAATAATTTAAAACAATTCTTTAAAAAGCAAAAAAAAAATCCCTACTCCAGTATTGTGGAATAGATAAGATTTTTTTTTTTTAAAAAAAATACTTTTTAGATGTTGACAGGCTTAATAGTGTTTGACAAAAAAAAAAAAAAAACTCTTTAGAAATGCTCTTTCAGCTCTTTACAAATTCCCTTATCAATCTCCTCATTCTTTATAAGCTCTCTTGAAACCACATCCCTCTCTCTAGCACAGTGTTTCCCAAACTTGACAATTTTAAGGCATGAGGACTTCAACTCCCAGAATTCCACAGCCAGCGTTGCTGGCTGTGGAATTCTGGGAGTTGAAGTCCACATGCCTTAAAATTGTCAAGTTTGGGAAACACTGCTCTAGCAGCCTCCTATGTTTCTATCTTTGCAGAAATGACTATAAACTACATTAAAATCACTAATCCAGAAATGCCTAAATTTTTAATCAAAATGGCCTTCATTCACAGACATGAACACATGGCTGACCTTCTTATCACTTGGAAGCCAAGCAGAAATAGTCCTGGTTTGTACTTGGATCAGTCAATTTTTGACCATTTTTTTAAGACTGGACTGAAAATACTGTTTTTTTTATGGTGAAGAAAAGTACATAGTAGCCATCAGGAGTGAGACCTCAACTTGACAACAACAGTTATTTGCACACATGGAAATACATATATTGTTATTGTAAATAATCACCATCCAAATGGAAAAATACCAGCATTAAATTTTAAGGAGCTTTGAGATCTTCTGAGCCCATGTACCAAAGTGATGATACTACTATCATAAAAAAGATTTATCCAGCTGGTACAAAGAATATTTTTGTTATGCATTTATTGAAGTTAATTAGCCTCTTTCCCAGAACCTGGGCACTGTGTCTTTTTCCACTAGGGAAATAGCCATTAATATATGAGAGAAACTGAAATGATATCCATAGCCAAACCACCCCACCCTTCCTATGCAGTCCAAAACATTTCAACACAAATGGTTTCCTGAAATTTGCTAAACAAACAAACAAAAAACTCAAGAAATTTCTACTTACCAGTGATAAAAGAGACTGTTCGGCAATAGCATCAGTTACACTACAAGATCGCAACCTTGCAGAAGGATCTCTTTGCTGGAATACAAAAAAAAAAAAATGTTTTATTTACATTGTGACTGTCATTTTTCCCTGGCATCCTATGGTTATTTTAGCCTTCATTCAGCTACTTGATAAGTTTACCTTTCTTCCAGCTAATAGGTTAACTCACCCTTCTTTCACTTGATTTGATTGCCAAAAATCTTAACTCTCCATTTCATGAACAAAACACTGAATTTAATTTTAAATGGCAGAAATATATATGGTATCTAGTATTGGAAGGAGCCAGCATGGGCAAGAAGATAACGGTACCCTTGTTGAAAATTTAATTTCCTCAATTCTGAGCAGACTGTTGATGGGACAAAATAAATAAGGTCGAAAGCTATTCAAGAAAGAAAAAAAGATTATTTCATGAAAATTCACTGTCTCCTATCTTCAATGATTCCATATTATTTGGGGAACACCTGTGAACAATCTTCAGGATTTTCTAGAGATGGTACAGAGAAATAACTTAACATCTTATGAAGCATCTTGCAAGATTATGAAGATTCTTGCAAGATTGCTAAAAAATATTTGCCTTTCACGAATTTACAATAAGTAACTTAACATATGTTTCCATGCCAGACTTGTGTTTCCTTAGTAGTAACAACAGTCCTCCTATTTTTCATAGTGGAATACTTAAATTATACATCAAATAAATCCATTTACAAAGGAACAATTCTCAGAACAATAAAGGTAGTCCTCAACTTATGACCACAAGCGATCCCCAAATGTCTGTTGCTAAGGAAGACAGTTGTTAAATGAGTTTTTACAACCTTTCTTGCCACAGTTGTTAAGCGAATCACTGCAGACATTAATAACATGGTTGTTAAGTGAATCTGGCTTCCCATTGACTCTGCTAGTCAGAAGGTCGCAAAAGGTGATCAGGTGACCCAGGGACATTGCAACCATCATAAATAAATGACAGCTGTTAAGCATCTGAATTTTGAACATGTGATCACAGGGATGCTGCAACCGTTGTAAGTGTGAACAACAATCATAAGTCACTTTTTTCAATGCCATTATAATTTTGAATGGCCACCAAGCTAATGGTTGTAAGTTAAGGACTATCTGTACTGAGTGATTATTTGTTTGCAGAAAGTGCTATAGCATTTAGATCATCTTAAACCATTTCTTCACTGTAAAACTGGGCATGTTTGTATTAAAGCATCTGTTTAGAAGTATCAAAGTACCTTTTGTTTTCTGGTTGATAAAAGGAAGAAAGGCACTGATATTCCCTGAATCATACCAAGTATATTATTTTTAGCTTAGGAAGTAATTATTGGTTGTTAATTCCCCTCTAATTCTCTTTTAAGAAACACTCCAATGCCAATATATATATTTTTAAATTGGTAGGGTTCACAATGCTAGAAAGACAAACATTTCTAAGAGGCAATGCAGACAGAAAATAGCTATTAATGCTTTGTTACATTAACTAAGGTCAAAGATGCTCATTGTGTTTCAAGGACTATCTGAATTATTTTTTATTCCACTCTTGTAGAGAAGATGAAGACTACTTGTAAATAATGGTAATAAAAAGTGAGGATTGTATAGGCATGCTACATGTCAGTCAAAACCATGACAGATTTACCAGTCTATTTTGCTTTGTCTGACACTTGTAGAATTCACTTGATCAGAAACACAGTCTGTAATTTATATGTTTTAGGAAAATTTACATCGATCATAATAATTTATGAGAAATATTTATATGGATCCCCAAGTAATTCACTACTATCGTAGAACTGTATTAGAAAGCTTTTCTAACTCCTATCTCCAATTGTTTTTTTTAATGGACTCATCATATCCATTTAAGCAGGACTTCACAGCCCTTAGACAACAAAATAATCTTTTTCTGAATTTTTTCTCTGAGCTTAATATCTCTATTTGTTGAGGGCTTGGCTTGTTAGCCAGATAAAATGTGAAACTGATCTGTTGCCTAGAAGGTCTTAAATGAAGGATATTTGTAGGAAAAAGGACTTTCTTAGGAAAAAGCATAAATAAGCCTTCATACAATACACAGATTTTTTTTCATATCAATAGGAGCACAATGCAACATTAAGAAAATCAAAGTGGAGATTTAGGAATGTCAAATTTATTTTGATAGATTTCAGATGAAAAATTGTATTGCTGGAAAACTAAATAAAATAGTTCATGGGTAAAAATGGTTTTGTTCTTAAGTCTCCATTAGACTGAACTATTATAAATCTATAATCACAACTATCATTAGAAGCTTGGTTAAGATGGAAATATATTTCCATTTCATTATTCAAATGCAAAGGATAAATTTGTTCTATTAAATGTTTATCACAGAAAGAACAGAGACAAATTCCAATGTGGTTCAGATTAATCAGTCTATTTATCTTCATCTTCATAAATCATTTGAATAGTAGCATATTCATTATTTTTTAATCATAAGGAACATTAATTTTACATAAAGAATTTACATCTGGAAAATCTTAAAAACTTTGGTAATAGGATTTAGGAGAGGAAACTTAGTGGAACTAAGAATGCTTAAGAATCCCTTTTAAAGACATTTCAACAAATCATGAAGAAATGGTTTTGAAAAGACTAGAGCAGACTAATAATTTACTGGTAGCATTGTTTTCCCATAATACTGCATCATATTAATCTAAATCATTTTAGACTGAAATCTTAAGCAAGATTTGGTGGCAATGTCCAAAAGTTTTTGATTAAAAGTTGAAGAAATTGAGAAAATTTCACAAAATTTCTTTAAAGAGAATCCAGCAGTAGGATAGCTGTTTGAATTTCCTAAAGTATACAAAACAGGGCAAAACTGAAGTACTTCCTAAAGCTCACAAAATTAAGAAACAAATTAAACTTAGATTATTAATAGCTAGATTTGTTTTTTTACAAAGCCCTGGACAAGGAATGGATAGCATTGGCCCAATGGTAATCCACAGTGTGGAAATGGCACTGAAGAAAGAATTAACTCAACAATTTTTGTTTAAGAGATCCTCTAATAAAGAACAGGCTTAGTCATATATAGACACTATTTAGTATTGATATTAATACATGTTTTCCTGATAGATTACGCCCATCAACTCGAACGTCATGTTGGGTAATGTTTTTATTCTCAACTGTATTTGTATATTCCTTTTTTAATATAATTTTTCTTCTTCAGTATGAATTGCGTATTTTTGTTCTTTCATAATATTTAATCTTGTAGAGACATTTATTTAGGTTTTTTTCCCCACTTTAGCTTTGAAAAAAAATATTTTCCACACTGGTTTCTTATTATAGTACTTAAATGCTAAAAGGGCAAGCTGATGAGCTGTCTCGTTAAGTGTATATATATGACAATTTGCTATATATCACTGATTAAAACTTTTTGTTTGTTCTTTCTAATTAAAGCAGCACAGTGCAATTCTCACATTCACTGTTGATATTCATCCCAGCCCATTAATGCAATTGCTGAGTTAAGAAAGGCAAAACAACCTTTCGATGCATTAACATAATTATTCCAATATACAGATGTTAGTATAAATTTTCCAGTTGTATGCCACATTTATATATGAAAATAGATTCTGTTAAAATTATGAATGAAGGCAAATATACATCTCCCAGAATAATGTTGCAGGATCCAGTCTAAAGAAGTTCCCTGAGGATGAAGAAGCTTGGAACACTAAACCTCTGGTCCTGGTGACCGACCCAGATTGGATACTATTAAAATTATTATATGAACTTAACTTCTAAAAATACATTTTAAAAAAGAAAAGAAAATTCCACCTGGTGTTTGTTTATTTACTTATCTCAGTTAAGCATTCAGAGAACTTCTATTTTGTTTATCAAGTTCGCTGAAGTTATAAGTAAGAATAAAATCTCTTCCAAATGAAATCACAATACACATTTAATAGCATAAATATTATTACTCAGCTATGGTTTTTTACTCAAAAGTAGACTCACTCAATTCAGATCAAAATTGCTTTTGTTGAGTTTTTTGCTCAATTTTTTTTCAACTTTGACAATTTTAAGATCTGTGGACTTCAACTTCCATGGGGAATTCTGGGAGTTGAAGCCCATACATCTTAAAGTAGCCAAGGTTGAGAAACACTGGCTTAGTTGACTGATTGGATTCTGTGGAAATTGCCCTCAGGGAAAGTATGCTTTGCATCATAATTGTGGTGCACTGTAGAATGGTCCAATAATCCCAATTAAACTAAGAGGAAAAAACATACACCCTTGTAGCCTGAAGCACCATGTCCACACAATGTTACCAGTTGTGTTGACTCTGAGGTAAGTTTTACAAATCAGAATGAGCATGTTAGAAGAGTAGTAAAAGAAATGTTCAAGTCTCTTACAATCATAGAAGAGAGTTGTTCCCCATTTGAATCAGGAGTGATCTGAAGTCTTCTATTCAATTCCTCAGAGAACTCCTGAGGGCTGGTCCGAGAGACAGGGGAAGCAGGCGGAGGGGGCAAGGACAGGCTTAAGGAATCGCCACTTGTGTTCACTTCTTCAGAAATGGTTTCCCAAGGCTGAGAAAAAGAAAAGGCATCAACAATGAATATGCCAATCTTCTGTACAATTTGCTTGGCTATCAATTAAACCTAAAAACCAATATATACCTTTAAGACTTAGAACACGATTAACATCTAACAATCAACTCTGGCTATATATATACCTTTGCAACTTTAAGATACGGTTTATGGACTTCAACTCCCAGAATTCCCCAGTCAGCACACATGTTCACTGGGAAATTCTGGGAGTTGAAGTCCTAACATTTTAAAGTTGTCAAGGCTGAGCAACAAGGGTAAAGGGGGAAAAAGTAAAGCTGGCAAGTAGCATAAAGCAGGGTCCTTACAAAAGATTAAAAAGTATGCTGTAATCCTCCTTTCCATAATCTTAGATAGGAATCAAGGAAAGTATGAGAGATTTATTTATTTATTAAATTTATTTGCGACCCATCTCAACCAGAAGGTGACTCTGGGTGACTTACAGTGTTAAGAAGAATAAAACAAGGCAACAATGTGTATAGAATAGGAGCAAAACACTTAAAATATGAATTAGCAGCTATAAATAAAACTAAAGGATGGAGGAAGGGAATAGGCTGAGCAGAGAGGAAGGTGAGATCTGTTATTAATCAATTAACACCTCCAGAATGACATCCCTCATTGGAGCCAGGTCTTCAGGCTCTTGTGGAAGATGGGAGCTGACCTCACTCCTGGGCACAAGATGTTCCAAAGGGGAGGGGCAAAAGCTGAGAAGGCTCTTCTCTTTCAGGCTGTCTCTGCCTCCTCCCAACCCCCTTTACATTTAGGTCCTAGGATGTGGATCACTGAAGTATTTATACTTCTGAGGAGTGGAGGATAACATGTGACTGAGTAAATACACACTGTGATGGCTATTAATGTTCCATAAACATAGACAATTCATTCCCTATTATTTCCCTTTATTCAGTAGAACAGCAGTCTACTATTCTTCAGCAGAATCTATTCAGAAACTCAATTCAATTTGTTCAGATAGTTTACTGTTGCAAACATAACACTACTTTTCTGCAGGACTTTAGGTTGGACATGATTTATAATTTGCTGGTGGGGGGTGGGGCACTGATTGACAGTTTAATGTTTTATTGTATTTTATCTCTGATAGCTTTTTATTAAGTGATTTTAGCCGCTTGATCTCTTTTATGTTGCTAATATGTGAACTTTCTAGATTCATTTTAGAATACTGTGGCATATACAAATTTCAATCAATTAATGAGTCCAATTCAATTTTTCTCCTTAGCCCAAGTAGCATTAACGATCAGAGAAAGATGACACCTGAGCAAACATTTACATTATGTTAATATGTCTGCTCCTTAACTCTCCTCTATTGTGTATTTCAGCCCGACCTTTAGTACAAATTTCATTTGAAAACTATGAGTCCAAGTTAAACCATTTTAAAGGGTCATTTTGTCTGAAGTCATGAAAAATCAGGTACAAAAATTTTAACAAGGCAATTAATAAACAAATGAGTACATTCAGTTGGGCAAAACTATGAAAGGATTCATTTCAAATCTTGAACGTACTTCAGGGACATCTCCACTCTCCAAGGGCTCAGGGTCCAAATCCTCACTAATGTGTCTCCTTGATCGAAACCTTCGGTGGGCAGCCTCTTGATTTATTTGCCTGATGTTGTTGTCAGATTCAGAAGCCACATCCCTGAAATGTCAGAGGTTGGTGAAAGAAACATGAGTCAGAGAAGGAAGAAAGACATCATTAGCTGAAATACTTCCAAGTTAGCACAAGCACACACACTCAAGCGCCCGTGCACGCACGCGTGCACACACACACACACACACACACACACACACACACACACACACACCTATTAAAATGTCAGAGCTTCTCAAGTCTCTGCTGCATCTGATACTTATTAACAATGGGAGCCAAATGATAAATTATTTCTCAAAATCTCTGGCAACTCAAATTAAATAATGATCAGTTTGTCCTTCAAAGCAAATAAAAGCTTGTTGTCTCAAGCTATTAGCTTGATTAAGGGCAAATTTCAATAATCAAAGCAGCAACAATTAAGAACGAGGTCCATTGCCCAAGCTGATACAACACATGTGATGCAGTGTATAATTTAACTCATCCTGTTGCCTTATTGATACAACTGTGTTTGTTGTGCATCCTCTTTAATTCAAGGGAAGATCATCTCCTGCTCCATTAGTTTTTTTCTCTTTGATTTTTGAAGAAAATTGGTTTTAGCGAATGTTTTAACTTACTGCGAATGTTTTAACTGCATCTTTAATAATAGTTTGGTTCTGTATGTGAAATAGAAATCTCATGAAAATTTTTCTGGGCAAGGTGATGGTTGGGTGGCAACAGGAAACAATAGCAGGTAAAAATACAACCCTACAGTCACAAAAACATATTTGTGTACTAGATGAGCACAACCCTGAGTTTAATAAATCAACTTCCCCTGCCATACTGAACAGTACTACTATTTTAATAATTTGGTAAATAATATTCTACCTGGAATATTTCTACAACTATAAATTATAGGGACCGATGAAGATCAAACAAATAAGCTGGAAAAGAATTAAATGCCATAAGACTCAAAGAATGAACAAAACACTTTTTTGGAAATATCTGTATCATAATGGACAGAAGCAAACAATTTGCTTGTAAAAAAACTGATATTAAAAAATATCTAGCCTCAAAGAACAGGTAGACCACAAGGATTGAGAGTCAAGCTTTGTATGTGAAGAATTTGTGAGTTAGAAGCTAATGAGCTAGGTTTGCTTGCCTGAGTCATAATAATCATTTACTCTTCTGAAAGATTTCCAGAATTCTCCTTGATCCTGTCCATCCACTTTCTTCTACAGTATTTCCTCAATCTCTACTTTACTTTCATTTATTAGTATCAACTTTAGATGTCCAAAGGGCCCTGTTAATGCTTGCAAAATGAATCACTTGAGAATAAATCTCATGTCCAAAGAATGGGCTGGTTAATAATCACTATTTAATTACTGCTTCAATTACCAAAGAGTCAGAAACTAGAAGCTATTGAGCTTTAAAGGGACACTGTTCCCACCCCCCCTTTCTCTCTCTGTTCATATATTGGACTGTTGTGAAATCTTGAAATAGCAACAGTGGAAATCCACAACCCTTCTTTAAAGCATTAATTTTATTTTGAAATAAAGTCAAAAGTACACACGTTATATATATATACACACACACACATTTCCCCCCCCCCATTTACAGCCCTGTAATCCCTTAATTTGGGGTAGAGCTAGGGCAACTGATAGAGCTGAGTGTTTACTGGCTGGATGCCCTTCCTGACGCCGATATGGAGTTTGCAGCAGATATTTTTTCTTTCTGCCCTAAGAGAGAAACATCTGTTGCTACCTGGGATTGAACTCTCAACCTTCCGAATAGGCCACACCAGTAGGCCACAACGCTGCTCACATCTAAAAACCCAGTAATGGTGCTAAAGTAGGAACTAGGGCAGTGATGGCGAACCTTTTAGAGACCAAGTGCCCAAACTGCAACCCAAACCCCACTTATGTATCATCGGGTGCCGGGTGGGCATGACCCATTGGGTGGGCGTGGCTTCAGTGGTAACAGCAGACTGGGTGGGACTAAAGGGTTCAATCAATCAATTCCAACTTTGTAATATCTTTTTTTCCTTGCGAGAATTTGAAATTGATTGATTGAACCATTTTTTTTTTGGGCACACGGCGGCGGAGGCCTAAAGCAAAAAAATTTTATAAAACCCAGCTGAAGGCCTAGGACTGGGGCGACGGCGCATGTGCCCATAAAGAGGGCTCTGCGTGCCACCTGTGGCATGCGCGCCATAGGTTCGCTACCAGGGAACTAGGGGAACTATTTTATTTCAGTCAATAGTTTACTGAATCGTTACAAGCAGAATTCACAAAGCATATGCAGTGGTTCATAAAGTACAAGATCAAAAGATAGAAAAAATAATGTATCTTTTCCCTTTGAAGAGAAGATAGATATGAAAACCTGGAAGGCCACACTAAAAAAAACCACAATCATTCCTACCATTACAGGACGCAGGGCATGAAACAAATACAGGAACAATTTTGTTGAATGTCAGGAACAACATGTGTACTAAAGAGCAGTTTGACAGTAGAACCCATAAACCAGAGAGGCTATGAGCTCTTTTTTTATTTTATTTATTTATCAAATTTATTTGCTGCCCATCTGGCTCAAGGTGATTCTGAGTGGCTTTTCAGTAAATATGTCCAACCAGAGTTTACACATCCATTTACTGGAGATTTTACAATTTGGAATCTTGTACTTCAGAATAATCCTATCAGTAAAACATGTGCTAATCATGAAGCTGAAACTTAATCAGAAAAAAAATGTATAGAATGTGAACCAAAACCTTAAATACCTTTCTACAGAAGAAACTGAACGTGTGGCACTGTGTTATTTTCTTTAAAATGAGAATTTCTTCTAGCTGAATAAATGTGTACATCATTAATGTCTTCTAGATTCTAGCAATCTGCTGTGTTCAGAAGTCTGCTTGAGAGACATTCATTCTATTGTTCTAAAAATGATTTACTGTAATATGGCTTTACTCTTTCCAGAATTGTTTACAAAGGTCTCCACACGCGGCATCCAGGGTTGTAACGTTTAAAATCACAACGAAGCATTAGAAATGCAGTTTATTGTGGCAATATTGCTGGCCATAATCAGGAGCCTTGTTGCAGTACTCTGCTGAACATGCCAACTGAAATCAAACATATAAATTCTTCTGCCCATGCCCCTTCCAACAGCACAGGGAGTCCTCAACTTATAACTATTTGTTTAGTGACCATTAAAAGTTAACATGATACAGAAAAAAAAAATTCCAACCAGTCCTTGCTCTTACAACAATTGCAACATCCCCACAGTCACGTGATCAAAATACAGCAGGCCTTGACTTACAGCAGTTCATTTAGTGACCATTCAAAGTTCAATGGCATTGAAAAAAGTGACTTATGACCATCTTTCATACTTATGACCATTGCAGCATCTCCATGGTCACAGGATTTACATTCGGATGCTTGACAACTGACTCACATTTATGACAGTGTCATGTGATCTCCTTTTGCTAACTTCTGACAAGCAAAGTCAATGGGGAAGCCAGATTCACTTAACAATCGTGTTGCTAACTTAAAGACTGCAGTGATTCACTAAACAAATGTGGTGAGAAAAGTCGTAAAATGGGGCAACACTCACTTAGCAAATTTCTCACTTAGCCACATAAATTTTGGGCTCAACTGTGGTCATAATTTGAGGACTATCTGTACTATATAGGCGCATGTTTTTATGATAGGTGCAACATCCTGGAGTCATCCAATTGAAATTTGTGGCCTTCCCAGGTTACTTCCGACAAGTTGAATTCTTTTAACAACTGTGCGATTCACTTAGCAACCTCAGTGATTCGCTTAACAATTCTGGCAAAGAGGTCATAAAATCAAGCGCAACTCATTTAACCTATCGCTTTGCTTAGCAACAGAATCTGGTACCAATTGTGGTTGCAAGGCGAGGACTACCTACACTGAGTATGGGCTGAGATCTTAGATGAAGCCTGCAGAAGAAGAATAACTGCTATTCAGAACTTCCTTTTAAATTTCATTTATCACTATGAACTGATTCCATGGAGTTACAAAAGAGCTCCAGACATGCAAAAAACTCTATTCTCTACAATTAGTTTCAAAATAAAGGGGAGGGTGTATTGCTGTCTGCTTGATACAAGCCCCACTTAGTGTAATAGAGTTGAAGACAGCGATTCAGACAAATGTTTCAGCCTTTTCAGCATATTCACCTTGCATAATATATAAATCCATCAAGCTATACAGGTAGTCACTGACATACAACCATCAACTGCAGCCATTCAAAGTTACAAGTTAAAAAAACATTGACTTGTGACTGGACCTCGCGTTTATGAGCATCCCCACAGTCACATGGTCAAAATTTGAGTGTTTGGCAACCAGCTTGTATTTAGAATGGTGGAGGCCTAGGGGGATCACACGATCATCATTTGTTACTTTCCCAGACAGCTTTGAATGAGCAAAGTCAATGGGGAAAGCCAGTTTCATTTAATGACCCTGTGATTCACTTAACAACTGCAGTTATTTGCTTAACTGTGGGGAAATCAGCAAGGGAAACCTTACTTAGCAATGGAAATTCTGGTCCCAATTATCATAATCTATATATATATGTGATGGCGAACCTTTTAGAGACCGAGTGCCCAAACTGCAACCCAAAACCCACTTATGCATTGTCGGATGCCGGGTGGGTGTGGCCCATTGGCTGGGCGTGGCCCACTGGGTGGGTGTGGCCAACTGGGGGTTGTGGCCCATTGGGTGGGCGTGGCTACGATGGTAATGGCAGACTGGGTGGGACTAAAAAGTTCAATCAATCAATTCCAACTTTGCAAGATCTTTTTTTTCCCGCGAGAAGTTGAAATTGACTGATTGAACTTTTTTTTTTTTTTTTTGCACATGGAGGTGGAGGCGTAAAGTGAAAAGGTTTTATAAAACCCAGCTGAAGGCCTAGGACTGGGGCGACGGCGTGCATGCCCACAGAGAGGGCTCTGAGTGCTACCTCTGGCACCCGTGCCATAGGTTCGCCACCACTGACCTATATGTTATGGGTACTTTTCTTAGGTTAAAACTGCACTGTTTCTTATGTGCTGCAAATACTATGTTGTATGGCATTGATTAAAATTAGAGGGAATAGGCGTTTTTTTTTAAAGTGTACCTATTTAGAGAGACTGTGATTCATACATCTGGAAGCACTGGTTCATTATAAAGATGGTTTGAGTTAATTGTGCAGTTCACATCTAAGGCTACCTCATTATCTGTAGCACTGCAAACTCAAAGAACTGTGTTTACATCTAGAGCTAAGCTAGCCTTTCCTAAGCTGGTGGATCTCTAGAGCTATGGAGTTCTTCTTCTTACCCTTTGTTGTTGCAGTTATTGATTAATCAATTTACACATTTGCAAGCTGTTTACAGATTCTGGGCAGCTTACTCTGAATGACAGACCATCGTGTATAAAATATAGAGTATTTCATGTATAATTTAACAAGACTAATATTAACCTTGATAATTAAGGCAACTGTCATTTTAATATGCCCCATATTAGAGAAGGCTGCGCTCCACGAAAACTAAAGCAAGGCGCATTTGTACAAACAGTGTGTCCAGACAATGCCTCTAAGCACCAGGACTGAAAGTTGCACTGAGGTTGTCAATGTCTCTGGCCCATATTAATGCTCAGGGAGGAGGGGAGGGAAGGAGAATAATGGCCTATTGTTCTGTGCATGCCTATTAGTCCTCTGTAGAACAATTATCTTTCCTATAAGAAATCTGACCTCACTTAACAGGATAATACATTTCCAGGCAGGGCATTCCAAATTTTATGACTGCTGAGTGCCATTTGCTTTACCCTTGGCTTTGGTTCTAGCCAAACAAATGTTGAACATAATTTATACCATTTGGCTGGGATTAGAATTGACAGAAGAAATGGAAATGTATAGAATAAGAAGGCTATTATTATCTGGGCAGGGTTACAGGTAGTCCTCGACTTACGACCACAACTGAACCCAAAATTTCTGTCACTAAGCAAGACATTTGTTAAATGAATTTTGCCCCATTTTACAACCGTTTTTTTGTTTACCAAAGTTGTTAAGTTGCATTGCAGTTGCTAAGCTAGTAATGTGGTTCTTAAGAAAATCTGGCTTCCCCACTGATATTGCTTGTCAGAAAGTTGCCATCATGACCTCTGGACACTGTGATCAATATAAATATGAGCTAGTTGCCAAATGTCTGAGTTTTGATCACATGACCATGGGGATGCTGCAATGGGGATAAGTGTGAAAAACAGTCATGTAAGTCACTTTTTCAGTGTTGTTTAACTCCGAACAGTCACTAAATGAACTGTTGTAAGTTGAGGACTATCTGCACTTTATTGAGTTAGCATTGTTTTATTGTAAACTGCCTTCAAAGTTAGTGGTCAGGACAAAAGACATCAATTTACCATAACCAGATTAAGGCTGGGAATTCTTAAAAAGAAAGGCTTTTAAAGTTCAGACCCATGCAGTGGTGTTTTTAGGTTTTGAAACAGGTCATTACAGACCCATCCAGAATAAAGATAATATGTTCTACATTCTAAATATGCCATGAAGGAAGAATTTCCATAGGAATAGAGAATGAAGAATTGAATGTCTATGGAAATTCTCAATCATCCACGTCATGGTTGTCCCCAAAGAGCTTTTTTAAAACAAAGTGGATGCTCAGTCCAGTTCCCTTTTGGAAAAGCATCTTTGGGAGAAGAATTGAAAGATAAACCTAATTGAAAACTACTGTCCTACAACAGGAATGAGCAATCTGTAGCCCTTTTTTATTCTCTTTTTTGTGCAGCCTTCAGTCAAATTTCAAAACAGAGATCCATCCATTTGCTTTTTCTGCACAGGAAGAGACACTGAAGAAATTAAAAAAGAAAAGGAAGTTTCAGGAAAGGATTTGATCCTTGTTTCTATCCCACCCACAACCTTCAGGGCTCATTTCCCCCCCCCCCAATTTACTCTGGAGAAAATTTGCCCTAAGTAATAGCATTATTTATACTGTGAACACACGCTACATATTGTCTTTCTCTCTCAAGGAAAAAAAGATCATCACTTACTGAATCTATTATCAACAATATTATAATGGAGACAACTCCCAAATAGAGCAATAAAATGTGACAAATCTTTACAACAGCAAGAGCAAGCATCCATCCTAGAGGGATAATTACCTCCTCATTTTGCAGTTTCATAGCCCTGAAGACTTCTGAGAACAAATCAATACAGCAAAGCAGACTACATTTTATGGAATTAAATTGGAATGTTGACAGGAAGCCCGTTATAAAGCAATTCTATAATTAAGGCTGAGAATCAGTCTTTTAGAAACGCAGCCAACATCCCAGAATGGTCCTTTCTTCCAAAGAGTGCAAAATCTGACTAAAAAAATCCAGATCACAGTACATTTAAAAAACTCTGTTTTAAGACAATGTATATTTATGAGCATGCTATGTAGCAGATGCACTGATTTCCAGTATAACTCAGGTCTAAGTAGTATTTAAATTATGAAGCCTTACCCCCAAACATAATAGATTTAACAGTTCAATAATAATGCATCCCTACTCAGGGGTAAACCCGACTGGACTAAAGTAGATTTAACCCTGAAGAGTTTTTCAGATTAGAGCCTGCAAAAATCTCAATAAACCTTAATAATTTAACTGAGCTTTGAATTAGGTGGCAAATCACAAAAAAAAGAAATAAAATAAAATAAAGTATAAAAGAGAGAAGTTGTATGAAAAAATATTAGGACATTAGACTTTTATTATAACTTTTTTTAACTATCATGCTTCATAATAAGTAAATTACAAGTTAGGTCCCCTGCTTTATACATTATTAAGATTTTAATAATAATAACGTTGGAAGGGACCTTGGAGGTCATCAAGTCCAACCCCCTGCTCAGGCAGGTAACCCTATACCATTCCCTGGCAGTTAGAACAATTAATCAGTGGAACAATCTGCCTCCAGAATGTTCCAACACTGGAAGTTTTTAAGAAGAGACTAGACCAGGGGTAGGCAACCTTGGTTCTTTTATGACTCGTGGACTTCAACTCCCAGAATTCCTGAGCCAGCCTGGCTCAGGAATTCTGGGAGTTGAAGTCCACGAGTCATAAAAGAGCCAAGGTTGCCTACCCCTGGCCTAAACAAACATAGCCTGACATAACCTGTAATGGCAAAATTGAACAGTCTGAACCGAAAAAACCCACCCTTTAAAAATCATAATTTTCAAAAGAGGCACTACATGAGCTTGCTGTAGCCACATTACTATTATAGATTAATTCATTAATTGCAGCAGAATGTTTGTAAACAATGCTACCATTATTAGAGATAGGATTTTAAGTCAAGTGACAGATTAAGATCATTTTACCTAGCTTAATAAATCAATATTATCAAAGAGCCTTTCCACATACACCACTCTTTCACACTTCCCATCATTGTTGAAGACATCAAACTGGAAAGTCTCTAATGGTTTCTTGTTTTGTATGAACTGTATGAGTACCTGTGATGGAGCAAGCCAGGAAGATAAACCAACCACTGCCTGTGGACCACAGAGATTCCAGTTGCTGATAAACCTGCTCTTCAAGATTAGCCTTTTAGATTATTGTTTCTCAACCTTAGCAATGTTAAGATGTATGGACTTCAACTCCCAGAATTCTCCAGCCAGCATGGGAGAATTCAGTTTTGGGAGTTGAAGTTCATACTTTTTAAAATCGCTGAGCGTGAGAAACACTGCTTTACATCAATTGGTATATTATATACTATAACAGTAAAGTTATATGCAATGTTCAAACAGGAACTTACATCAAACTTGGCCGATGCCACTGTGTCGTTCTGTTATTATGATTGACATAGTAGGTGCGCCCAAGGTTGTCCACTTTCTCTTCCCACCCAGGAGGTAAGGGAGGTGGGGGTAATTCTTCCTGGCGCTGAGGGGGGGAATCTCCCGAGTCGACTACTTCCCAGCCATGCTTTAAAGAGGACAAATTAAAAAGCTACAATTAAAGCCTGAAAGCATTTATGTGTGCAATTATCATTATCAACAATGGAAAGAATCTTTCCTTTACTCCATTTCCGATAATCACATTAATCTAATAGGAAAATGAGCCAGAATTTAAGATGATCCTTCAAAAAAGGAAAATGGTCAGAAAAAGCATATTAAGATGACATTCTCAAGTGTGAAAGATAAACTATTCGACAAAATATCTATTCTACTTTTCAGAGTCAATTGCATTAAATTTATAACACTTATACAGCAAACCATTTGTCCACAAACTGAACAAGATCTCACTTGGGTGAAAGCAAAGCTTCCGTCCATAAATCTAAGACAGTTATAAAAAGAACATGTTAAAGAAAGTGCTTCTGTAAATGCACATTCCGAGATGTGACTGCCGGGGATTTCAGAATTGCCAAATTTTCAAATCCCTGGGAGGAACTTGAATTGAGTCAGGAAACAAACTGGTAGCTATTGCCTATTCTACAGAGCATCTTTAAAGTGGAAGACAGGGTGCAGTTTCCTAGTCATCGTAATCACCTTTGAAAGCAGTCTCATGCAGAGCAGATTAAAGTATGCATGGGGTTACCAGAGATCAAGTTGAAGTCAGCGATTAACATACAAACACTTATATTTGGAGTATATTACGACATTAAGCTCTGGAGAGTAGTAGAGTTGCTCCCAGCAACCTAACACTGCTAATCAGAATAACAATTCAGTTCTGAAACACGATGCTGGAAGGAATGCATGCTTGCTTCATATCCTGGAAGAAGAATTCATTCAACTACACTACCTTTGAAAAACAATGCTTCATGCTAAAGGCTTGTATATAAAGGTTAAGATAGTTCAGATCTGAATTATTCATCCTGATGATGATAAAAATAAACTTATTCTGCTTGCAAGGCTGATTTGGTCTAAACTGTGATGTAATGAGGGAGCTATATCTACCACGGTCCTGCTTTACCACCTTCTGAAGTCACAGTAGTCCACATATTATAGTAAGATATTGGAGGCTTCTTCAGTTTTAGCAGTGTAATTCCTGACTGTGACCTAACTAGGAGACCTGAAAAGTAGTAGGCTAATCCTCTAGACAAGGGTCCTCAACCCCCTCCAGGAACTGAGCCACGCAAGTGAGCCAAGTCCAATCTGTGCATGCAAGGGATCCAGGCAGTGCACAAAACCACACCCTCCCGTCTGTAGAAAAATACGTCCTCCATGGAACTGGTCTCTGGTGCCCAAAAAGTTGGGGGGGGGGAGTGCTGCTCTAGACCAATGTTTCTTAACTCTAACACAGTGTTTCTCAGCCTTGACAATTTTAAGGCATGTGGACTTCAACTCCCAGAATTCCACAGCCAGCAATGCTGGCTGTGGAATTCTGGGAGTTGAAGTCCACATGCCTTAAAATTGTCAAGGTTGAGAAACACTGCTCTAACGCCTTTACAATGTGTGGACTTCAACACTCAGAATTCCTCAGCCAGCAATAATCCAGTCAACTTTGAAAACAAAGATACATATGTCCAAAAGGCTTACCTCTGAATCTTCTCTCTGATCACTGTCATCTTCTTGACCACCGTTTTTTGGCATGTAAGCCATCTTCAGCCTTAAAAATCCTTTTACTCGAGATTTGTGACTATGGAAGGAAAAAAGCCATTGTAAATATAGTTGTGATTTAGAATACTTGCTGGAGCTAGATAAGTACTTTAAACAAAAAAAAAAGTAGGGTATACAAAAAAGATCTCACCTTCTTGGTCTAAGAAGGAAATCTTTAAACGTATAAGGTCTTTCCATAGTTGGGTCTTCAGTCTATTGGTGTAATAAGAATAGCAAATAATTAATGCTGAAGGGCAGACACCTAAATATCCTGGTGATAATAAAGTTACAAAAATCTTAAATGATAATTAATTAGAAGTGCTTTTTCGGCATGGACAGTAGTTCCATAACTGAGCATTTCCACTAGGTGTCACCCTCAACGCCATTAATTGCTCAGAACCAACTATCACAATCTTTGTGTAAAAAACATGGGGACTGGGGAGATAAAGAAACACATTGTTGAGTAACAATTGCTATAAAATTACATGTGCAGGCATCTATTCAGACTTTCTCTTTAACTACTAATTGGGATCAAAAAACACATTTAACCATGTACGGTCCAGCAGGCTATAGTCAGTTAACTACAAATAATATACTAATAATAAAGGATTACAAACCACAATGGCTAATTTTACATGTTGCAGTTTGTCAAGTGAAAATACACTCTTCACAAAACAAGTTCACTACCTCTACTACCTAAAAAGTATCCTGGAGGAAATTTGAAAAAATATTGTCTGAAGAACTTGAGGTGGATGCTCCAATTCTGGACTTTGAATGGTCATTGTTCAATGGCCTCTAAAGTTCAAACCCTGACATCTTCACACAGGTTTGGAAAAGGACACTGTCTGAAAATGGGGGGGGGGAGACTGTTTTTAATATTGCTGAACAGTTGAACGAGTATTTTTTTATCAAGTATAAATCCATATCTTACATTCTTTCCCATTACCACCTGACTCTCCTATAACAGATTTTTCTCATAAATCTTGCTTTTAATAATCTTCAGACAGTTATTATTTGTGAATGAGCTGTGATAATGTTACGACTCAGAGATGTAATCTTTAGAATGGAAAGACTTTGCATGTTTCTTCAATAACTCAACATGTTCAAGCAATTCGCTAACAATTTAAAGCAGAGATCTGAGGATTGATTACAGTCTTCCCAAACAATTCACATAAAAGTACTGGGGGATGTTATGTCTATGGGAAAAAGATGCATTGCTTTCATGTGGAACAGGAGAATGAAATGGAGAACTAATTCTGGTTTTAATACTAAAAAAAGCCATTTCAGAATGAAACAAATGCATTAGAAGAAGTTACTCAAGGGGTACCTAATACAGATTACAACGCTGTTTCTAAAGGTGTTAAAGAAAAGGGCATTACGAAATATTTCAGATTTAAGTTTACAAAACAATTTACAATTCCATACCTACATTATCAGTATTTGGACAGGTGTCAAATTAAATAAATATAAATAGCTACAGGGCTCTTTCTATTTGAATAAAGAGCTTGTTACTTAACGGTACATTTACAGTGCGCTGATTTTCTATCTGAACTGGTACTTCCGGATAGGGTTATATCTACAATTATTATAATTCCCTAGGAGTTTAGGTGATGGAAGGTTGATTTGAAGATAGACCTGAAATTAAATACAGAAACCCCAAACTACAGTATATCCATCCCTAAAAATAATAGAACAATCAGGACATTTCCCCAACATTATTACCAAATTGTAATATTTAAAATGACAGGAGAAAATGTTTAAACAGCTGGTTGGTTAGAAGCTGTATCTTTAATTTTCATTTGTTTCACATATGAACAAATACAAATCAACTTCAAGTTTTGCTCTGGACTCTAGTCCTCGTTTTGGAGTGCAAGAAGGGAACTGTTGCACATCCTTGAATTCTGGTGACATGGAGTGTTGAAAACGGCAGCACCTCTTCAAATAATACAATCTCAGTTGCAAAAGGATTGAAACAACGCTTAGCTTCACACTCCTATAAGTAACATTTGGGCAGCAAATGCCTTAACATGCTGCAGCAAATGACAATTATATAAAGAGCATTTTCTGAAGGACGGAATGACTTATCATTATTGTTAATCATCATGCTGGTGACAGGACCTGCTGAGATAATGATTTTAAAACTCAGAAAATGTGATTGGAAGAATATCAAGGAAAATGTAAAAAGGGGAGAGAAGTAAAATGTAAAAAATAAACCTCAAAGTAGAAAAAAAATCTGGAATGGTTCCATCTTTGTTTTGTACACCAGTGCAATTACAGACTAATAGCAGAACAATAAATGTGATTAAAATTGCAATGCACTCTGTATGGTTAACAGTAATGATTAATGATAGGAATAAAGAGATGAATCCTGGTTAAAGAAATTGGAAAGGTCTTGGTAATGTTGTAAATTTTTAATATAGTTAACTCCAAAATGAAACTGCATAGACACGTCTTTAAAACTTCCAGTACTTAAGGAAATCGACTAGAACAGCTGCAGCAAAGACATACTAAATTCCCAGACAAAGATGAATTTATACGACTCAGGACACCAGTGAAAGTGCTAAAACAGTCTAGAATTGTTCTTCTTTTCCACTCATTACCAACTGTGAGTCTCAGCAAAAACTTGGATTCTTTCCTGATCCAACATGTAAACATGTAAAAAACAAGAAAAAAGTGAAGGAAATGATTGGTCCATTAGTGGGTGAAAGTGGCAAGAAGGTGACAAGCAACAGGGAGAAAGCAGAACTATTTAACTCTTTTTTTGCTTCTGTCTTTACACAAAGGGAAAAAACAGACCAACCTATCAAAAATAGTGCCATAAAAAACAAAACAGAAACACAAGTTAAGATAGACAAGAAATTGGTAAGTGAGCACCTGTCCAGCCTAGACGAGTTCAAATCGCTAGGACCAGATGGATTACACCCCAAGGTTCTCTTGGAACTGGCAGATGTGATCTCAGAACCACTGAACTATATTTTTCAAAGATCCTGGAGCACTGGGGAACTACCAGAGGACTGGAAAAGAGCTGATGTAGTTCCCATTTTCAAAAAAGGGAAAAAAAGGACCCAGGAAATTACAGACCTATCAGCCTGACCCCAATACCTGGGAAGATTCTGGAAAAGATAATCAAACAACGAATCAGCAAACACCTAGAGGCAAACAAAGTCATTACTAAAAGCCAACATGGGTTTGTCAAAAATAGATCATGCCAGACAAATCTTATTGCATTCTTTGACCAAGTGACAAAATTAGTGGATCAGAGGAATGCTGTGGACACAATTTACTTGGACTTCAGTAAGGCATTTGATAAAGTAGATCACAATCTACTACTTGGCAAGATAGAAAAATGTGGGGTAGAAAGCACCATCACCAGATGGATCCGTAGTGGCTGACGGGCCGTGTTCAGCGTGTGGTCCTCAATGGAACCGCATTTACATGGAGGGAAGTGTGTAGTGGGGTGCCCCAGGGCTCTGTTCTGGGCCCAGTGCTCTTCAATATCTATATCAACGATTTGGATGAAGGGATAGAAGGGAAACTCATCAAATTTGCAGATGACACCAAGCTGGCAGGAATACTGGCTTAAGATACAGAAGGATGTGGACAGACTTGAACACTGGGCACTATCTAACAAAATGAAATTCAATGGTGAAAAAAGCAAGGTTCTACATTTAGGCAAGAAAAACCAAATGCACAGGTATAGTATAGGGGGTACCTTGCTCAATAGTAGTAACTGTGAGAGGGACCACAGTCCTAGTGGACAATCACCTAAATATGAGCCAGCAGTGTGCTGCAACTGCCAAAAAGGCCAACACAGTGCTAGGCTGCATTAACAGAGGGATAGAATCAAGATCACGTGAAGTATTAATACCACTCTTCAATGCCTTGGTAAGGCCACACTTGGAATACTGCATCCAGTTTTGGTCACCACGATGTAAAAAAGATGTTGAGACTCTAGAAAGAGTACAGAGAAGAGCAACAAAGATGATTATGGGACTGGAGGCTAAAACATATAAGGAACGGCTGCTGGAATTGGGTATGTCTAGTTTAATGAAGAGAAGGACGAGGGAGGACATGATAGCAGTGTTCCAATATCTCAGGGCTGCCACAAAGAAGAGGGTGTCAAGCTATTTTCCAAGGTGCCTGAAGGCAGGACAAGAAGCAACGGGTGGAAACTCAGCAAGGAGAGAAGCAACCTAGAACTAAGGAGAAACTTCCTGACAGTTAGAACAATTAACCAGTGGAATAACCTGCCTCCAGAAGCGGTGAATGCTCCAACACTGGAGGTTTTTAAGAAGAGACTGGACAGCCATTTTTCTGAAATGGTATAGTGTTTCCTGCCTGAGCAGGGGGTTGGACTAGATGACCTCCAAGGTCCGTTCCAACTTTATTATTATTATTATTATTATTATTATTATTATTATTATTATTATTATTAATAATAATAAATAATATTTTAGTTGTCTGTTTAATACCCAAAATTTAATATCCAAAGGTTTCTTTATCAATCTACTTGGCACTGATTCCTTCCCTAAAGGAGAACAATAGATTTTTTTCCCATTATGACATGATACAGTTTCATTTGTGAGGAAAACTGCCTTTCAGAACTGGATTTGTATATTATATTCAGGGGCCAGCAAAAATGTATATATATTTTTTCTGGTTCTTTCAAATACCTATGCAGACATACGTCTTACATTTGTTGCTGAGAATCATGTGCAGTTAAAATTTTGCCATGTAACAGAGAAGCATCTGCTATTGGATACCTCCATAATTTATTCTATACCCCTCTGGAAATTAGATATTTACTTCTTTACTGGACCACCCCAACTTTTAGCCTCTTAGGGAACTATAATACTCAAGGCAAACACAAATCTACTGGAAAAAACAGCTGACAAAGCTGAAAGTAGCAAATTAATTCCTACAGAACAGCTGCCTGGCAAGTAATGAAAAGTCTCCATCTAGTCTGTTATTTAGACTGTAGGGTTATACAGTGCTTGAAATCCACTATCAAGCCTCTTCCTTAACCACCAATTCCCCATAGGTTCCTGTTTTTTTCCCATATCAGGAAGATGGAAAAGGAGGCATCTAGGTAAGGATAGATCAGAAGGGCCAATCTAACTTTCTACCATGATTCAAGGAAAAATTTACACAAGCCCTTTTCTGAGGATTAAATACATGATATTTAGATTAAGATGCAATCAATAAATCTGATACTGGTGGGAAAAAAGTACTCTGGATTTTTGCTGTCTGCAGCAATTTGTCTCCTTAGTAACCTGCTGGAACTTGCTAACCAAAATCTGTAATTACCAGCATGAGGTGGGAAACGTCCAAAATAATTCTCCACAATTTATTTTCAGTGGAACAAATTCCATTTTTAGAAATGCATTATTTAGCATCATTACTGATTGGTATTATATAAATGAATGAATGCACATTTGAATTGGATGCAAATTTAACAATTTGGCATTGGATACCACATGCTGGAATAAGAGGAAATTACTATTATCATCTATCCATCCCCACAAAGCAGATAACAGATATGTGCACATAGCTGCCTTCCGTGGATTCATTTTTTTTCCTTTAAAAGCTGAACAAAGTAAAGAAATTGGTTCATACTGAGTTACCAACTCTAACCATGTAAAAAGTTCTATTTAGTGCTGGTTATTCTGATAATGAGAAATGCCTGAGAGTGGAGCAGAAAGAACAACATATGAATAATGTGACATTTTTGCTCAGTATAAGTTGTATATAACTGTTAAATAAACCTATAAAATTAGCCTACAACTTATTTAAGTTTAAATAAAAATGATCTTCTGTATACCTATGAAAACATTAAAATACTGCAGTTTTGGCAGGCGGGAACAGTCAAATCCCCATGTGAAAAGTTCAATTAACTATTTTATTGCTCGTGCCTATAATACAGGAATTTTCTCAGACTGGCAGTTTGTATCCGAGCCAGACTTATTTAAGGTTCAACAGCATTCAATGGGGGATTGTGGTGGTGGTGTCGGATCTTGCCCTCTTGTGCCTATATAGAGATTCTAGACTAATTCTTGCTTGACTCCTCCCCCGGCTCGGCCAGTCTCTCTCCAACAAATTTAGACAATGGATTTTGTCATTTTACAAGTCCATCATAAATCATAATTGGGATAGATAGAGAATGATACTCCCATTTGACTAAATAGTAACAATAGTTATGGAACATCTACAGATACTTAATATTTACAAATTCTTGAATTCCACTACTTTTTAGAATAAATCATGGTGCCGCATTGAATCCAAACCCATATAAATGCCAGTCAAAATGTCAGAATGAGCATTTAGATGTCTACAGGCAGTCCTCACTTAATGCCTGAACCATTCAAAGTTACAACAGTGCTGAAAAAGTAACTTTATCACAGGTCCTCACATTTATGACCATCACATTTAAGATGCATGGACTTAACTCCCAGAATTTCCTAGCCAGCGTGCATGCTTGCTGGGGAATTCTGGGAGTTGAAGGCCATGCATCTTAAACTTGTCATGGTCGAGAAATCCTGATCTACAAGGTAAACCCTATGGATGTTTAATGAACAACAGTAAGTATCTTACAAATCCTGCCTACTTTTGATTTAGAATTAGAATCACTCTTGAATTAACTTCTACAAAATAGACAGGATAAAGCACCAAAAAGTTCTTACTGGAAGATGATTAAGTGGCACATCCACTTGACCCAGAAAGTCGTCTCTGGTCTGTTAACAAAATAAAGAAAAGATTTAGAATAATTTGTTATTAAGTCAGTATAGTCATTGACATTAATTTCAAATCAGTTTTTGAAGCCATTTTAAATTATACTTTAATTATTGTACACTTTAAAGTTGTGGCTTTGTCAGAGAATTCAGTTACATATATTTCATATAATGTTTTTGTTCTTGAGCAGCCTGAATAAACATAACCATCTCCCCCCCCCCCTGCCACCTTAATTTCAAGCTAGTCACAAAAAAGCTGCAGAACTGAATGTTGGAGGTAGATGAAGTCACTTGATCATTTTATCTTCCTTGATACATTTCAAAACAGGCATTCTATTTTTGTAATGATAACATTTGATAAAAAGAACGGAAAAAACAGTAATGTTTATTATACATATGTACAATGCACACTCCAGGGTGTTTCCAATGATTATTAGGATTTTCATGCTGGGAAAAGCAAGATATTCTGTCTGAAAAGATTATTGTCTCATTTAAGTATTATTGGACACTTTCACTTCCTTTATATGCTATCTTTTCTGTTTGCTACAGTAGACAGATCTAACTCACATATAGAAAGCACCAAGCAATTTCTACAGATAAAAAAAGAAGAAAGAGATGCTATACAGAGAGAAATTAATGTGTGTACAGTATATCTGAAACTCAGGACACTGCAACGTTTCAGTCCCATTAACTTAATATTTCTTTCCTGTGAAGATCTCCCCAACAAGAATCTTCTAGAGATGACAAGAAAATAGCAGAACATGAAAAATGAGCTCTGCTATTTAGTTACAGCCCATTCATGCTTGACAGTAAACTCTGAATTGGTAATGCCAGGGCTGGCCTCCCAGTGGGCAGTTTGAGGCAATCGCCCCCCCCCCCCAAAAAAAACAGATGTTCTAGGAGTGGCAAAACCAATCTCCTAGTTACTTTTAATCCCTTTGCTAATGTTTACAGATATAGCTGGATTTGTTTTCTGAGGTTTTCGCGGGTATTTGTATGTAGGTCTTTGGTTGTTCGGGTTTTCTCCCGCGTAAAATTGGAAGTGTCTTGGCGACGTTTCGACGAAGTCCCATTCGTCATCTTCAGGTTGGTGTTTTCAGCTTCGTGCTTTGAGCAGCTCAAAGCACGAAGCTGAAAACACCAACCTGAAGATGACGAATGGGACTTCGTCGAAACGTCGCCAAGACACTTCCAATTTTACGCGGGAGAAAACCCGAACAACCAAAGACCTACATATAGCTGGATTGTATCTATTGCTCAGTTACAGAGAAGACACTAGTCTATAAACACTATTGAAATTAAACCAACTGCCAGTCTGTCCAATGCTAACGCTGATTGGTTATGGACAGCAAGAGGCTTGCAATAATACTATGGCCTTTCTCCACGTGCATCTAAATATGGATAAAATATGTCCGCAACTTCTTCCTGCCATCCAGTGGTAGACCGGCTTCTGGACTAACTTTAGGTCTGGAAGTACAGTCTACTTCTCCTAAGGTAAGTTTTAACCAGTTATGAAAGATGGCTTGACACTTTCCCTGTTAAAATCTATATGAAGCCACTGGATGATTCATTAGCATGGGATGCAGCTGATGATAGCCAGTTATACATTGCTACCCTGTCCAGGTATCTGGAGGCTGTAGGTCTTTGGTGAGGAAAAACAGCTTCTTCAGCTTTTAGGGCTTCCTGGATCCAGGGATTTTCCATCTTTGGTTCTGATTAGGATTGCATTCCCACAGAAACGACTAAAAATAAATTTTATTGTCACTTTGAATGTACACTAATTGGCATACATTAAAATGAAATTTCATTGCATTCAGCTCTCAAAGGGTCACCACCTCTGATATACACTACATAAATATGACAAAAATAAATAAATATAGAATTATGCATATACCCACATATATTATATGACAGAGAGAAACAACAGTCTAGTTCGGGTAATGAATGGCGAGAAAAATGAATCTAGTGAGTTTACTAGACGGATGGCATAGGGCAGTGGTGGCGAACCTATGGCACGGGTGCCAGAGGTGGCACTCAGAGCCCTCTCTGTGGGCACATGCGCTGTCGCCCCAATCCTAGGCCTTCAGTTGGGTTTTATAAAACCTTTTCACTTTAGGCCTCAGCCGCCGTGTACAAAAAAAAAAAAAGTTCAATCAGTCAATTTCAATTTCTCGCAGGGAAAAAAAGGTCTTGCAAAGTTGGAATTGATTGATTGAACTATTTAGTCCCACCCAGTCTGCCGTTACCACCGCAGCCACTCAACCCAATGGGCCATGCCCACCAAATTGGCCACACCCACCCAATGGGCCACACGCACCCGGCACTCAATGATGCATAAGTGGGCCTTGGGTTGCAGTTTGGGCACTTGGTCTCTAAAAGGTTCGCCATCACTGGCATAGGGAACAAAGCTATTACAGAATCGGGTAGTCCTGCTAGAAATACTTTGAAACCTCCCGCCAGAAGGGAGCAACAGAAACAGACTGTAAAGTGGGTGTGTGAGGTCTCTAACAATGCTTTGAGCTCTAAGCACATAGCGCTTATAGGCAGCATCCTGAATACCAGGAAGTGAGCTTCCTATGATCTTCTCGGCTGTCCTCACCAATGTCTATCTGAGGCACTGCTGCCACCAAAGCAGACAGTGATGCAGTTTGTTAAAATGCTCTCAATCATGCCTCTGTAAAAAGTGGGCAGGACAGAAGGAGAGAGATGTGCCTTCCTCATCCGACACAGGAAATGTAGACGCTGGTTTGCATGCTTCACTAAGGATGAGGTGTGGAGAGACCAATTCAGATTGTTAGTTATCTGCACCCCCAGATACTTAATACAGTTGACCACTTCTACAGCTGCATCCTTGATACTGAGTGGAGTATGACTATGCCAGCTGGTATGCAAATCAGGTGTATTCCTGGACTCATGGCTACAAAAGAGCAAGTGGCAGCTCTGACCAGGAGAGCTAGGAACACTTTTACATTATCCATGAATTGTGCTCTTTCCTGGGACAAAGAGCACTGCACATGGTCACTCGTGCCTTGGTCCCATGGTCTGTACACCTATTGTAATGTACTGTACATGGGCCACCCTGGAAGAACATCTGAAAATTGCAAATGGTTCAAATTGTAATGGTATGGGCCGTTATGAATGCTTCCTGTTCACTCATGTTACATCTTTACTAGGTGAGTTGCACTGACTAGCTCCCAATGGACTTCTGGGTGCAATTCATAGCATGGATCCTGGATCTTTGAAGGACCACATCTCTCTCTGGATCTTTCCATTTGCCTTATAAAATCTAGAGAGAGGAGCATGCTTTGACCTGTCAATTAAAAATGCCACCTTTCTATCTGTGAATCAGCTGTCCAGAAGATTTGTTTGACAGTGGGATTAACTTGGGGAAAAACAAAACAAAGCATCCAGCAGCTGATCACTGGAGCTGCCAGGTAAAAATGAGAGAACCTCTTCACTTTATTAAGAAGGTTCTTCTTTCTATGGATCAGCTGTCAGGTTTGGGGGGATATCAGATTCTGCAAATAACTAACCTGCAAGTCTAGCCATTCCCCCCCCCCCAAATTTATGCCCGAGTTACAACAGTCTTGTGATCGGTAAATGGCTTTTCATGCTGTTAACCGAAAGCAGAAAGCTTTTACCAATGATTTTGCCTGACTTGTCTTGTGTCTCCAAATTCATAACACCATTACCCAGCAGCATGGCAGAATGGGGGCTATATTCACAAGACAGGAATCACACGTCAGCATAAAAAAACTATTTCGGGATAGTTTTCTGCCTGCTCAAGAATAACTGAGAAGCATTTTAACTAAGACCCAAAGAAAGGCCTGTAGATAGTATTTATTTTAAAATAAAGTAGAACAGAGAATCCATTTCTAACATCTGAGAATATTTCAGCATGTGCAAACAGGAAGAAGATACAAAGATGCTGCAACACAGAATTCTGCATAGCTATTATAAATAATCTCTCTATTCCCATCTGGAAACCTGAAAACTTGCAATCTCAGCAGCACAAATTCAAAACCCAAGAGGTGTTTCATTTTGCAAACAGATGTCCATAATGCAATTAATATCAACAAAGGCTGATAGAGCAACATGTCACAAAAATGTTTATTCTCACACGCTTTAGAAAACTGACATTTTACTTGTTCGTATGTTTACATTTTTGTTAAACGCTATGAGTATATTTTTAAATACAGGTCTTTTTTCACATTACAGAAAATAAAAGACTCTGAAGCAGAAAAGCATGTCTATGTAACTGGAATTCAGATTTGCCAAATACTATAGGACAGAGTTAGTATAAAGCATTAGAAACATGTAGTGCAAGCTAACATGCTCCACACTACTTTAAATCTTAATTTGTTTGGTTTGGATTTAATGTGATATGTGAATTCCTCATTAGGACTTAGCACCCACGCAAACATGTTGAGGTTTGCTTAAAAGATCACAGAAATAATTCTGGCTTATGTTATTCATGGGTGCAGCCAGAGTTTTATAATCTTAAAATGCATGTCAGCTTCACCTTATATACAGTATGCACTGAAAATAACAACATATACATTAGTTAGCCTATTTTTTTAAACTAGAAAATCTGAAAAAGTCTTCTTGAACAATTTGGAGTATGATTTCCCACTTTAATTTTTTTTAGATTTTCCATTTTTATTTTGCTCCTGAATAAGGATTCTGTGCACTTTTGTATGTCCATGTATAGGTCTCCTAATTCTGTCATTTCCTATTATGGAAGGATCTCTCATACACAGAAAAACCTCACCATATACAAAGAAACTTCTCAAAGCTGTGAACCATCCCACTGGTGTTATCTGCATGATTAATGAAAACAAAATCAACCATGTTAATGGCCCAAGGCCACTCTTTTTGGCCTTTAATTTGCATCACTGATGTATCCCTTGATAAAAGTAGATTTTGAAACCATTTAAATTGCTATCTTCTTATAATAAGAATTAGGCTGGAAACTACCCCTAACAGCTATCGTATTTCATACT